TCTCTTTCATCCCTTGCTTAATTCCCTCGTTTTGGCATGCGATTCAAATCGCTGCAGTGGATGACATTTGCGTCTCCTTTTAACAGTTATTTGAATTTTGGCTTCACATGATGTAATTCATGGTGTTGTGGCACCAAACTTGGTCGAAGAAGTACAGTCTGTCATTGCGAAACTTGGGAGTTCGTCGACAGGACCAGATGTCGAAGAACGAAGGTGCTGGGCAACTAGCCAATGGCATGCTCGAAACTCGAGTGACCGTCATCTCAGCCAATCACCGAGATTCCATTCGAGACACATCGTGAGGCGTGACACACTCTCCCTACGTTCCCTCAGCTCTCTCCACAGTTTGACACTCATAACGCGGATGCTGTTTCCTGACTAGTCTGTGTTACATTTACGTGGGTGTAGGTTGTGTGGTGAGCGACTGTTGGAACTACAGCAAAACCCATTCAAGGCCACACTTCGGAGACGGTTAGTTGATGTAGACGGGATGAAATCCATTTAAACAATTGAACACGCTGTGATGATTAATGGCGAGTTTATCCGTGATATGGTGATCCACGGAGGGGTTGGATGCAAACAATCAGACTACGCAGTGCAATTTGAAGATTCCTGGGAGACTTCAAGCGTCGTGTTGGCAGAACGGAACGAATTTTACTTCACTGCAATTTCTCCTCGCCGTTTTGTTAGTCCAAACGAGCCAGAGCCCATTCACTGCTTGCTGTTAGCGTGGAAAGTCTTTCAACGACCGCAATTATCGTCGCGGGTCAAAGGTTTTGTGTGTTGAAGTGTGGCAAGTGTCACTTGTTGACAAACAGAAGAGAGATAGCACATCAAACTGTGGTCGCACGCTGTTCACGAAATCCGTGCACTTGTGACCTCGTGGCTGCGCAATTGTAGCTAGGACGCGGACGTGGTCAAGTGAAGAAATGCTAGCTGGCGAGGGAGGGAGAACTGAACATTGGCTGTCAGCACCGCGACAGCCGGCTATCTAGGTCGTCAAGCTTGTTTGCGACAAGAAGACAGTGTGTGATTAATTGAAACAACCGAATCTGGTGAATACGAAACCAATTCAAACGGTCAAGACTGGCTGATTAGCCGATGAACTGGAGTTGTTTGCAGGGGGAATCTGACGCCTGGTGACCGTGGACTTGCACTTGAATGGCCAATCAAATTGGAGAAAAACCAGTGTGCAGAGTCCCAGGCAGATATGTCAATGCCCACAACGTTGTGGCACATGCTTTGCCATTTCCACTTGATTTATTTTACAAGTTTATTTCCTATTTCGCATTCATAATATGCAATTCGCTTGTGCGAACTTTCCGTCTAGAAGTGACCTCAATTGATGACCTTGGTTCCTGGATGTCAATGGTCTGACGATAAACAATCGAAGAGCGCTGGCGCTGACCTTTAAAAAAGCCGCGGATGTCGAAGCCAATGGGAAGGTTTTAAGATACGCCGACAACGCACAATTAGCTCCAGGATTTTGGAGTTCTAAGAAAAGGATTAGCACAACAGGCCTTGTCTGTAATGCTTTTCCTGTTATACCAGATTCGAAAATGCGTCCTTTGTTGTGCAACCAAGGATTTTCCGACTATCATGCGGCTTATATTTGAACAAACCAATGATTCACATGCGTGCGTGTTTAGATCGTGCCGCAGACCATAACAATCCACGGATTGCGACTAAAGCGAGGGAAGAGAGACGAAATGTAGGACATTATTCATCGTAATTGTGCCATTTAAAGCAATTCGGACACACGAGCACTTATTGCGAGAGCAGAGCATGCAGTACGGCGTTATCTCTCATTGTCCGTCAACGTCACGAAGGTGTCTTCGATTTTGCCATAACTGGAGATAAAACTACCTGTGTGAATGTCAAGGTAAGCAGAGAAGGGGGCTGGAGGCGTGGAACTGCAAGACCACAGTCTATGATTGGCTGAATTGTGGCATTCAATGCCTTCTCCCACACTAGCAAGCATTATTCGACGTCTCCCCGATCCACGACAAAATGTGAGCTTGCACTGAGGATTGTAGCTGTTTCAGTAAATGACGACGGCAGGGCCAACTCACATGTGGCCTGGGTGACCTTGAGTGCAAATCCGAGTAAAAGTACGTCCAGAGGTGAATGGGCCAATGGGCAGGTGACGGTTGATTTGAATACAAATAGTTGGTGTGCGCAAACGCAGTTGATTGTAGAAAAGTGTAAAAGATGTGTGTGTGTGTGTGTGTGTGTGTGTCGTTTTACACTGTGCAAATAAATGTGAGGAGAAACAGCATTGTCTTCGCCAAGTACGAAATTGGGAACAGATGCTGTTGGTTTTCTCTGCTTTCCAGGCCTCTCGTCGTCCACTCACATGTCTCTCACCTGGCATTAAAGACGCACCTTGGGCAGTCAGTCAACTAGACCCGACCTTTCCCTGACATTACCCTTCATGGATTTTCATCTTGTTATTGTTTGCGAAGCAGCACAAAGAGAAATCATGCGGCATCATGTACAAACCCCATTTCAGAAACAAACTGTCCACTGCGTGAAACAGGGAGCATCTGGACATATCCAAATCCCAGCCAATGATTTTGAGAAATGTTGTGTGATTTATCATGGACGCTCGCAACTTGAATTGCTCTCGTGAGGTCACCTAGTTAAACTGTTAGTTGTCCTCAATGATGTTAGCAATAATGTCAACAATTTATGACCTAGGTTAAACACATGTCCGTAGTTGCTTTAGAAATGTGGCCGTGATTTCCAAATGGGGATGATTTCTTGTTTAAGTGAGCTCAAACAGAGCGTGGAGGTCATTTGAGAGCGTTTTTCACGGCGAGAATTTCTGGAACTCTAGCGGTGCTGTGAGTGGCTCTAATTTCCGCTTCAAATCGCTAATTTTTTCATTTCTCAACCGTATAAAAATCCTGGCAAATCAAATCTCAGGATTTGGAGAAACGGAGTGTTCTAACTGGTTACTGTGTGCGTCAGCTTAAATGCAACTTAGACAACGCCGTATTTATCCACAATCATTACAGCCGGTATAGAAGTATAGTAGGCGTGGTAGTCACATTAGCTCTTTAATACTAGTTAATTCAACTCAATGTAACTTTGATTTCTGGTGGGTGTTTGGTGTCCCTTCATCGAAGATCCCTACCCCACTCTCGACCTGCTTCGTCCGACGCATCCAAGACAAACACCACCCCAGCTACGGCACTGTCGACTGAGGTAAATATTTTTTCCAAATCTGAGCAATCCAATACCTGCGGTGAGTCATCTCATGTCGAGGGAGAGATGCTGCATACTTAAACGCCTTAGTGAGATGTACTCACGTGACACGTGAACGTCGTTCGCCTTCCTCTAAGCCAACTCCCATAGATGCTCATGAAACCGCGAATTTTCGCGCCAACAAACGTGCAATTCGCTGATTGGTTGAATTGTATAACCCTTGCGGGCCCATTGCCAATGCCTCGAATCACGACCAGGCCACCTGGAGGAGCGAGGACGCGTAGTCAGGTGGATCTTTGAGTTGTTCGCCTAATTCATGAGTAATGGACCGCGGGATACAAGCTTAACTAGATGAGCAAATCACGTGGTTGCAGACAAGCTGTAATTTGATTGGCTCAGTATTTCTGCCGCACAGGCTGCTCGTCAGGTCTTTGATCAAGCCGCACTCGTGTCTGGGCCGTTGGGTACTTTTAAGAGCCTCAAATAACGACAGGGTAAATCACCACTTTCAGCATATCCTAACTTCTTCTTGATGTTCAGCAGCCAATAGCTCTGCTGATGAGGCGCAAGCTAATGCGAAACGTCTGTCGTAGTCAGCGGGGGTTACATGAAACCCGTCCGGGTGTCGAACAACGTCGAAAAGAGGCACATTCGCTGACTTGAACATTTGTGGCAATTTACTTGCGAAATCCTTCAACCTGGATGATAATTCAGCCGCCAAAAATCCGAGAATATCACCTAGGTGTGCGCAAGAGTGAATATCGATTGCCAATTCCAATCAATGGTAATTGACATGCGATCATGTCTGATCCGTCGGCGACCCATCCTTATCGTGTGCATCCTGTAACCAGAAGACCAAATTTTGAGAGTTGGAACCTCCTAAAATCTATGCCGTGACGGCCTCGTTGGAATCAAAGCGCAGCGTTCAAATTTGTTTAAATCGGCACTGTATCTCTCGCCATGGCAACGCTAGACCACAAACTGCTTAATTGACATGACAGAAACGGTGTAAAAAAGGGCAGTCTTACAAAGGCAACCGATTTCGATCAACTGACACTGCCACTTCATTCCTCGCCAGTTTCATCCATTATCAGATAAGTTGAAATTAAAACAACCGCGGCTTCACTGGCCAATCAATTAAGGCCAAAGTTATTGATTAGCGTCGTGGCAAGTTCATTAAACAAACAACTTGGCATTACTTGGGTTCTATCACTCTAACATTTTAAATGCATTCGGATTTTAAAGAAACTAGTGAAAAACATCCAAAAATCGAGTCATTTTAAACCTTTCTCTTTTTAAATCCAGCACCACTGATTTGAAAAAGCCTTACTTAATTAAACCTCAGTCCTAATTTTATAAATGCGACGTGAAAAAACAATTCTATCAGTTTTGTCGAATTTTGTTTGAACTCCGACCGAAATATACACTTTGTCTGAAAATTGGTTCAAGCACCCCATTTCCAAAAATAAGGCAGGTAAATTTGGAGCCAAAGTTGTGTACAAGGGGGCAATTAAAACAACAAACAGAACCAATGAGCAGCAAGTGAGACGGCAAGTTGTTGTGGCCACAGCAGCCTCCTCGCCTGTCACAAAAATTGACACAGCTACTAAGCTAAGAATACAGTCGTTCACTGCTACCACGCTGGACGCAGAGTTCTTTCCCGTCGAAGCTAGCCGACCAATAGCATTCGCCGAATTCCCTCACCTCTGATTGGCTGAAGTCGATGGCCAGGCTTCAGATCACCGCGCGACGCACCGGCCATTACCTTGGTGGGAGGATATTTGCGAGGGATGCATCTGTGCCCGCGTCTACTTATGCTTCTCCTTTTCACCATCATTTTCTTCTCACAGAAGTGCCGGTGCTACACAATGGAGGAGGCGAGAACGGAACCGGAAAAATTTAGGGACTTCGTCGATGTAGCCGGATTTAACCGCTGGTACCACGCGGGGATAGCTCTGATTACGCTGTACTTTCTCCTGAGCAGCATTGTCGGTTCCGTCAATCTTGTGTCGCACGTCCTCGGAAGGAAGCCTCGGAGACAAATTTAAAGTGGCGGTGAGTTGTTGCTGTTTGTACCCTACCACGTCCTATCGATCCTATTGGTTATTCGAAAGTGGTCTTTTTTTTAGAAAATCACTTACTCAATTCCTAACAAACTATTAACTTCAGGAAAAAGGTCTTTACACCAAAGATCTGTATTTTTTCAGGGGGCTTAGCTTGAGAGTGTTTAGTTTACTCAAAAGCGACCGCTGAGTTTAAAAGAGGGCAATTTGATTGGGTTAAAATTGCCGCCATTTTTGAAATTACTGACGGCAAATTACAAGTAGAAGGCGTTTGGTTGACAAACTTGTTAGGCGTCATGAACCCAAGGAAACTGTTCTGTGGCAAGCCTTTGGCCAGCGTTTTATCAAATTTCCCCTTGGTTAGGGGGTTTCCGAAGGAAGGACAATCTAATTGGACTACAATTACCGCCATTTTTAAAACAAGTGAGGCATGTCAAACATGACATGTGATGTCTCTAGAATCGACATTTCTAACGTCACAAAAGTAACCCAAGTAATTAATATTTTTAAAACCTTTACGGATTTTCGATTTTCGTTTGTGGTAATTCACCCGTTTAATACGCTAATTCTTACTCCAAATTCTCAATAAGTGAATTCCCTAGCCACTTTTGAAGAATATGTAATGAAACCAGTTGACATCCAATTAGCCCCCAGCACTTTTATGGCGCGTTCAATGAACTAGCGTATGGGAACTTAGTTCGAGTAAATTTAATAATCCAGACAACTCATTATAGGAACCAGTTATTCTGAGTTAAATATTAAGTTATTGTGTATAAGTGTGTTCAAAAGTTAGACGGTTAATTTGGGGCAACCACGTAACTGATTGGTCACGAGATGTTAATCTAATTGGGCAGAACGACGTCCCAAATAACTCAACAACAAGTGGGTACATTTACGCGAAAGAAAAGTTACATGATCCGTCGTTATGTTTTTTTGCGTTGTCATGGTAACGTCGACAATGAACTTTAAATCCGGCGCACGTCGATGTTCACATGCGAAAGCCACCTCGAATTTGGGATGGGGGAAATGCAGTGTTTTGATCGATTTCATCTCATTGAATAATTTTGTGCTTTAATTAAACGCCAACGCTGATTGGTTGGGTTCCCTTCAGCCAATTTCTTCATAAAATCTGTTATCGTGCATAAAAATGTCACGAATTTAAGTCTAAATAATTATTTTACCTAGTAATCTGGAGTTGTCTGTAGTCGCGCTAATTCGACGTCCTCTGTAGTAGTAGCAGGTTGTCGTCTGTTGTTTAAATCCATCGTCAATGGTGAAGTTTATAATTCATTTCTACTTGACAAAATGCAAAAAATATAGATTCCGGACAACGTCATTATGGTCAAGATCCTGAAGTCAGCGGTAGGTCCAATTACTACCACCGACAAATCCACTGAAAACTATGATGAGGTTTATACTACTGACCAATCATTGGTAGTAGTTGTAGTAGTTGACATGGCATCGACTCAATCAACTACATTTTTACCACTGGACATTCAGGCGAAAGTTCCGCGCAGTTTTTAAATGTGGTGAAGGTCGTCAAACCAGCCAATCCGGATCGACTGAGAGTGGGACTTATGTCCTACAATTTGCTCTCCGTAATTTTTCGTCTAAAGTGGTGTTTTGCCAATTTTTGCCGTATTTTTCCGTTCCCAGGCAAAACTGCTTCTCTCCACACTCGTTACATTCCGGGTTGAGCAAATTTTGTGCGATTTCACGCCTGAATGTGTGATACGTCCCGTGTGTGACAGCTGCTGTTAGTTACAGAACACCCTGCTTGTCTAAATTGTAAATTTAAATGCCTAATACACAGGAATACAATTGACTTTATTTCATAGCCTTTGGTATCTTGATTGAAAATTCAGCATGTTTAAATTCACGATGTTCTGGATTGGCGCAAAATTCAATCTGGCGGACAAACAAACTGTCCGTACAATCTGTACTTCCCTCCAAATCTACCACAAACACTCCGATTCACAACGTGTTTTGTTTTACTGGACAGAGCGGTCTCATCACCACAGCGGCAACTCGTAAAACCTAACAAATCGACAGCTTGGTCAGATCGCTTCAACACAGCTAACTGTGGCAAAAAATTTTTCAACTTCAACCGACAACATACCTTCACGTTGAGACCTGGGAAATTGTTTCCTTCCGCCCTGTTTGTTTAAAACGGTAAAAATCGGTGTGATTTTAATTTGAATCATTTTCCTGAAGCGAAAGGCAGGCAGCCATATTGCGAAAAGTATGTGCTTAATCAAAGAATACACCGTGTTTTTTGATCTCCAGTGTCCGAATTACATTCCATACTGACTTTAGTCCGCCTATATAGCGCCTGATTGAACAAAATACTCCTGCTGCTTAATCCACATCTTCATTTCCTTGTTTTGGGCAAATCTGGGTCAAGATAATTAGCATATGTGATGGATGTGGCTGCTGTCTTGTAGCAAAACAAGCTTCTCTCCAATCAGAACTCGATTTCCTACCGCTTGTTAGCCACGTCACCCAAAGTTGCCCACAGCTGCGTCCTACCGCAGTGTGGCGAAGTCACATTCATCAGCCAATGCGAACGCGTCCTTGAGATGTCCTTGTCCTGGCGCGGTAAAAGTGAAAATTTGCATGATCGTTGTTTTCAAGGGCCGCCGATCTAGATAGTGGTGAAACTGGCCCAGCTGGCTCCATCACCAAATCTTGGAATACGAATGGAATGAGTTGTCGAATTGTGTGTTGCTGTAGGTAGTGTCACTAATAGTGATCTAGAAGTAGATCGTGTGTATACAAGAAGCAGACAAGATGGCGGCTCCCAAAAAAATTTCACCTCCTCAAACGAAAGAGGCGGCTTGATGCAGATACAACAACCAAGAGTATAGTTGCTGGGATGGGAAATGCTGGATGCTATTCCATCTTCCAGTAAGTCAGCGGCAAAAGTACACACTTTGATTTCGTTACATTTTTCAAGGTCGTTAGTCTCATCCAATAAGAATGTCAACACTTGTTCAACGTGGACTTTCATCGAAAAAGGAGAGAACTTAAGCAAGGCCTGATGTCCAAGTTGAATAATATCAATTGTCTCAAAATTTTTGCCTAACAATAAATATTACTCAAAAATATTCAAGTAACTGCCATCGGTTTGGTGAGCTTAGGGAATTTGTAAAACACAAATGAAGGTGAAACGGCACTGCATTCTGGAAGTGGATTAAATGTTGATTTCGCAACTGCGGACCTTTCCTCGAAATTCCACGGAGTTGGAATTAGACCCCTTCAACGTGCACACGTTGATCAAAACGACGAAGCACCTCCACTGGACAAGTTCAAGGTCATTCTGAAGGTTGAATGGGCGCTTGGAGATTGCCATGGCAACTGGTGTAGACTACCCAAGCCGTTGTATGAAGACGACAGGCACAACGGAGCAGACCAACCACAAGCCAGAACCGTCTGTTCAAGGTCACTGTAATGACCGTGTCGCTCATTCGTCCTTGTCTCTGATTGGCTACACAGGCGTCTCTTGTTTAAATCGTGTATATTCCAGACGACACTTGTGTGTGCGTTCACGATGAGGTGAGCAGTGCTCAGCCACATGGAGGTGGCGTGCGTGCGTGTACATGACTTATCCAAGCCGGTGACCTCTCTCTCTGCACACACACACACACACCCAAATGTATAAATACGCCATCGACCCTAGCCGTGTGAAAACGCAACAAGAAATGGCAGCATCACTGGCAGTGACTCTGGCCCTCCTCGTCGCATGCCTAATCGGTTTGGGTGACGGCCTGACACTACGCGAGGCCCAGTCCGATCCACAATACTACATCCTCTACAACCAGGAGCCCTTCAACGTGGGCAAGCAGGCCGGCGTGGCGAGTGTCGTTGTCTTCGGCACGCTGACCACCGTGCTTGCGTCGTTCGCCATCATCGTTCGAATGTTCGTCCGTATGGGTCGTGTCCGTCCTCGCAAGCGGGACTAGGCGTCGTGTAAGTTGACCCCCCCCCTCCCGAGATAAATCAATGAAGCAGCAGACACCTCGACAGACCCGCCTGCCGGCCACTCGTAGCCGAGATGGAGCGAATTTGATTGGTCCAGGTGAACTATAAGCTTCTAGTTTTTTTCGTTGACGGTAGAAAGCATTACGGTGGTTTATTTTACATGTTCTTGGGGTGCGTCAGCTACCAACTTCACGCATGCCAATTCCACAGTAAAAGTTGGCGCACATAATTTCGCCTGAGGTCAGCTGAGGTCACTCTCAGAAGATCGATCGATTTGTGAAATTGTAACCAATCTGATTTCGAAATTTCTGGTGGTCTGATGGAGAGAGATTATGAGAATGTGTAAAATAGCCTTCGCGTTTCCTGTAGCACCTTAAAACAGATCAATCTGCTTTCTTCATAATCGCTGGTTTTTTTCCCTACCTACGCCAACCTGGATTTATTTTTTTATTGTTTGACTACTAACATGTCTTCAGTAGGTAGTGCTTACATTTGAAGTATAATTTTTAAACATTGCGAGGCACGCAACTAAATGCATCACATCAGGCCTTTTCCAGTCTACTTCCTGGAGAAAAGGGTAAGTAACACGTCCCAACAACAACTGCGGCACGAGATTTGTTTGCCGTCATCAGCACTAGAATCCTTGGGGGTGCTCATTCAGCAACTAATTTCCAATTATGGCGCACCAAATTCACGGCCAACAGATGTTGGTTCAATTTCCAGCAACTCGATTAACCGAGTACGGTGACATCTACAGACAAAATTCCACTCCCACGGTTAGGAATCTTTCTCCTATGTTTGGGTTCGTAAATGCAACTGCACACTTGCATGTTGCCGCCATTTCAAATCGTGCATTCTCGTGAGAAAGCATTCTCACCAAAGCACACCGGAAGCATCCGACGTAACGACTGAACATCGCGCGGTCTGAAAGTCTGCGCGCAAGCACGCCCCCTGTCATGTGTTTGTGTGTGTGCGGCCGCTCCGGTGCACGTGATTGGTCGAGGCCAAGCCAATCACGCCCTCGCATTCCGGCTTTCGACCAATGCGGTTGCCGCTCACACCCGCCTGTCCGTCGCACCACAGTTGGCGTTTTTCAACGACAGCGGCAGTTGCCTGGAGCACACACATTCGCACACGTCGTCACGTCTTCTGCGTTTGTGCCTTTCGTGGACGTATTGTAGATTTAAAAAAAGCGATTATCCTGAACATGTCATTCCTCGGCATTATTGCTGTGGCACTGGCCATCTGCCAAACGGCCTACGCCATCACCCTGCAAGAGGGCATGGCGGATAAGGAGAAGTACATTTTTTACGATACCTCCCCCTTCAACGTTGGCATGCACGCCGGTTTGGCACTGCTGATCACCTACGGTATTCTGGGAACCTTCACCCCAACTGTCATGATCATCACTAAGATTTTGGAGAAACGAAGGCAGCGCAGGAAGCGTACCATGTCGCACTAGGTGTTAGGCGCTGAGAGTAAGTTGTGCCCCTTCATCCTGTATCGATTCTCGTGCTCCAATCCATCCACGCTCTGTGATTCGCCCTCTCAAATCGGAGTTGTTTGAACTGCTCAAATTCCGTGTTTCCTTTGTCCGTTTTAGCCTCATACAACCGCGCAGAAAGAAACCGAGAATCCGAGGTTTGTTTTCTACAACTGCTCAAGACCACAAGTCCCACTTCTCGTATCGACCCATCAGGTACTGTCGCTTTTCTTCGTTTCACTCAAAAACCCATTCCCTCCCCCACCCTCCCCCTCATTTTACGACAAATCTTGTAGCCACCATCCCTAGCTGTACCCCCTGCTATGCCCAACTTGTGTATATCTGAATAAATTCGGACACCGATTACGTGGTTTAGACGCCTGATTATCGATTAGGTGGAAGCGCTACCTGGGGCGTCGTCAGTGGCACGCCATAAATGTTTCCCCTTTCCGCAGTTATTTGAACAATCCTCTGATTTACGTTTTTTTGTTAAGGATTAGACATCGCAGATTTAGCCACTCGAATCACTTCTAAACAGATCCGAGTTTTTTGTGCGGCAGCACGTAGCTGCAGCGCGACGCATGATTGTTAAATCCATCACGTGAGACTCTGTTCACACAGTTGGTCTCACGTTTCGTAGTTGTGATTATCCGGCGAAGGTGTTACCTGATCCCGCCTAGCTGACTTCGTGACTCAAATTTGCCAAATTTGGTCTTATTGACCTGCCCTGGTTTTCGACTGGTCGCCTAGTTTCTGTCGTACAAACTCACTTTTAATGCACATTCCAGTGCCTCGGCCCTCTTGAATGAACATTTTAATCCCCTGCTAGTGGATGCGGATTAAAGAGCCAATTCCAAAGTCTCCAGAATGCTGCATTTTGTCGTTTTTGTAACGTTTAAGTTAACGCTAGCGTGTCCAATTCATTTGAAGCGGAATCAGTGAGACTGGCGGTGAAAGAGGTTGTAGGTACGGACGTAAGTGTAGTCTGCCCGTTGTCATGGCAATGCATCATTCAGTTAGCCCAGAAACACTGACACGAGTGCCTTTGCATGATTTCTGCCGGACTAACAAGATTGCGTAGGTGCTGGCGGGTGTGTGTGTGTGTGCAGTCTTGTCGCTGGTTAACCGTTGGTTTGTACAAATTTGCGACGGAGATATCGTAGTCGGCAAATTTGACACCCAGTGCGATGTATCAAGTCGATTAAATCAGCCTACCTAATTGAACCACTGAGGCGAATTCCTTTTCCACCTGAAGCCATAGCTCGTGACTACCCATCAGCTTCTCCCCTCTTACTCGTTATGCGTTTTCGTGGGTCCATGGTGAAACGCCAGAAAGGCATTTCCAATACACTGGGGAGATGGATTTGAAAGTGAGTTCAAGGCGACACGACTATGATTTAAGTAGGTTGATCTTGTGGGTCAAAATCTCCAGAATGACTGGATTTGGTAGTCAATAACGTGAATGCGTTGCTAAGGTTTTTCAGTGTCTACTGGCCCCACCCTAGTGTCTCAGGAGTACAACTCGTTCGGAGTCTGGAACGTGGGTAAAACCGCGGGGCGTTTTCCGTTTTCAAACATCGCAAACTTTGATTGGTAGTCCGAATTTTATAGGGTTCATTGGAAAAAAAAGTAGTGTCGCGAGTGGAGTTGTGTATTTTTGTACTCTGTTGGTTGCAAGGCTAGACAGGAGTGTGTTCATCTTTTTTTAAAAATCGGACATACGCGTGAGTTTTTGACGTGCCAGAGTCGAGATGTAGAACAGCTTGAACGAAATCTTGACGGATTTAAAGCTAATTAGGCTGGTGGAATTAGCTTCTGGCTTTTTTTCAGTTAAACACGGAGTCAGATCACTTAGAAATGTTGTGTTTTCAAGTTGGCAAGTTTGATTATTGAAAGTGTGACTAGTTTGGGGCAAATTTTTAGACTCTCCGTAGTAGTTCACTTTCATCTGCACAGACAATGCCAAACCAAATCGTTAAAAGAGTTGTGGAGGAGGTGGCCGTGATGCCTCAGAGGGGGTGTGAATACTTCAGCAGATTTCCGTATTCAAGAACGCCTGACCACGATTGTTTAAATGCAAAAAAGTACCTTGCTGCTGACGAATGTCGTTTCCTAATTGAGTCACGCGAACATTGAGTAGAGGGCGCCGGATTATACTACTGGCGTCATGTTCACACGTTATTATCGTTAGTTAACACGTCTCAGAGACGTCGGAGCAATATCTGATTCTGGATTATTTGTTGTCGTTGCAGACAGAATTCGAGGTGGTGGTTGAATTGTGTCTTACTGATTTATTACTGTTAAACGCAAATCGTTGAGGATGCTAAACATTCATGACTCGTGCCGAGGGTTCAATTTGCCTCCTGAAACTCAGCAGGCTCCGGGTATGGATCAATGGTATTCAGGTGACATCGAATCCCCTTGATTCATCCAGCTCTCATTAAACATTCGGATGCTCTGTTGGAAAGAAACGCTGTGTTGCTACTACCAACTTGAAGCGTCCATCTATGGGAAACGACCATTGGCCAATCATAGTCGGGCATAAAGTGTCCTTTTACGGCCAACTTTTCATGTGGTCTTTCAAGAAAGGACAGTCCTCAATTGTTTTTCGCAAACGAATCGAGATTATATCCTGAAAATCCCCCCAGGTTACAGTTAATACTCTATGTTTGCATACTAATGACAGACCAATAAGAATGCACTAACACTTACGACCCACAAAACCACTTGCTGAAAAGGCTAAGTACCAAGTATGAAGAGTCAAAGAACTAGACAATTGCTCTACTGTAGTATGTCTGGCGCTAGGAGTACATAAGTCAAAAAATTTCACGAAACCATGGTTTCATTGGTTGCCATAACTGCGCCTTTTAACTAATTAAATGTTCATTAATTACCACAAACCACAGTTTGTATCATCGACGCTTATATTCAAGCACAGAGAACGTGATAGGTTTTGTTTATACCGAAGCAGAGCGGAAGTCCAAAATTATTTTGCGCGCGTCCGCGCGCGCTCTCGCGAACGCCTATTTCACTATCGATTTTTTGTGTACATTTAGCACATACACGCACGCAAGGGCTTAGTGCTGGCGCATGCTCGATGACATGGCGCCACTTATGCAAACCGGAAATAAACAATTACGACTGGTTCCTGGCAGGTAACGCTGTGGTTTGGCTGTGAGGGGTTAACCTGCACTTGTGACAACAGATTGGTGTGGAGCCATTTGACTGGCTGATCGATTTTAAACGTCCAGGGCTTTGGGGAGTGTCAGATGGAATGGATCGAGATGATTCTATTGTTTATCATCGGAACAAGGCTAAGCGCCAATCTCCACAAATCGATCCTGGTACTAAAAGGTTAGTTTGGCAAAGTTTTGACAGATGTCCATTTATTGCTAACAAATATGGCTCTAGCTAATGGCTGGTTGTTGGTTCAAATACAGTTGTGGATTGGTTCTATTACTCCGGATTGTTGAAAGAAGAAGGAAGCTGATTGGATCAGCCCAATATGGACGGCATATTTTGGCAGAACGAATTTGGCACAGAGAAACCACAAGCTCACGCTAATTGGTCTAAACCACTAATGATGTCATTAAAGCAGTCTTCTCTCGCTTCTGAATTTAACTTACATAATTTTAATATTATCTGTTTTGGTGTGGTGTGAAATTGTTTAAATGAACTGCGCACAGCATTGCCATTTGCAATTTCCAATGCCTGATCTCACGTGAAATAAGCAATCATGGCAACTATCTGTTCACTCAAGGTCAATCGTAGGTTGAATTCATCTGAAATGACCTTGATAGCATCGTTAGCTGGAAATACTAGGCACAATGGTACAACTGCTACAGTTAGCAGGCTATCTGAGATGTAAAATAATACCTAAACTTGTTTTCATTTGCCGAAAACATGGACCAGCCTCTCGTGCATCTTATTGTCATGCCTTAGTCCCATTGGCCCACGGGCACCAAGAGAGGAACTCACCAGCTCATTGGCTACTGAGATGCCCCCAAGGCCCATGCAATTGGACTTACCTACTCAAACTCCGTTAACTAGCACCACAGTTTAAGTTTGGAAAAGTAGCACGTGGATCGACCATTTCGCTAGAAGTCAAAGACAAAACAAGGGTTTAGTAATGGCGTCCAAAAGTCATTTTCATTGGTAGATTATTGAATGACGTTCAGTGTCTGGTGAGAAACAATACGAAACGCATTTATGCAGACGTTTCGGTGTTATTTCGCAGCTTAGCAGAGTGACGGCGAAATAATGAAAACGGAATTGTTTTTGAGCAAATCTACAGCCGAAATCCAGCCTTACCTCTGTCTGAAATGAACAAGTTTTGTTATTACAAACAAAACTACTCCCACCCGTTCAATTCGGCTAATTCAAAACCGAGGCAGCAACCAACACGTTGGGTTTGCATTGCAGCCAAAGAAGGTGAGATTGCTTTGAATGAAGTTGAAACTGAATCAAGCATCGTTGGCATTTTACAATGATATCGGCTCAAATTTGAAAAGTGAACTCCATCGATTAGGCGAAACAGAAAAACATTGATGGCGTATTTAAACAAAGCCTGCAGCAGCTTTGGTTCGCTAAGGGAGCCGTTTATTGTAACAAAATGCATTTATTCCATAACATCTAACTTTCGGTAGCTACTATTATCTAAGTTTGTTTAAATCGTTTAGAACCTTTAAATATGGGTTACAGACGAACCACTTTTTTTTAAAAAAAAAATACTTTGGATCAATTCTCCCAGGAGCACGACTCTCTTCATAATCACACATTCTTTCACTTATTTAAGGACAATTTCAGGGCACATCAATCATATTTCCTTAATTAGAACCAGACTAGAACACAAAATATACACACTAATTTATCCAATGAGTGTACAATTTGGGCTTATTTCGTTGCGTTTGATTGAACTGATTAGGATTAGAGGTGATTTAGAAAACAAACGAGGCAAAACCAAAAAGAATGACGTTTATGGCTGGGTGTAACCACTGCACACCCAACTAGAATCGAACAGATGACGTGGCCAAAGCGGGGCATGTCTGCTAAATGCAGATTTGAAATATTACCTTGGTATAACAAACCAAGCAAACACCAACATAACATGCCCTGTTAAGTTACTTAAAAACGCCAATTGCATGCCTGCCCCTCTGAAACGCATTAGTGTCGTGATTAAGCACCCTCGCTGGTGTCAAATTGCGCTTTAATGAGACAATTGCCTTGGCGTGTGTTGTGCACAAGTCCTGAGCTTGGTATGCAGAAGGCGAAAGAAGTCAAGTAGATCTCGGATTTCATTTGAGAAAGAAAAACAAGCATTCATTGAAATCCATGGTTATTCAACCATTCATTAAGCGTCTTTGCTTCCCCCACCGCATAGTTGGAGGTTTGTGATTTAAATGATAATTAAAACCGCTAACTCTGCTCACATTTAAAGAAACCCTCCATGAAATTAATCAATAAAATTGATTTTGCAGCGGAGGAAACTTTTAGCGGATTAAAGAGTGCGGATTTTTTGGAGCAGCATTTAAACAAAATGTGGAATTAAGCAATAATATGTTATAGAAACAATTTTGATTAGAATAATCAAAGTCGCGTTTATTTAAATTATTAGAAATTAAGCGAAATCGATCAAAATTAAAGGTAAACCACGAACCAACGTTCTTTTAACGCTTTGGAAATCAGAACAAAATTTCACATCTCCTGGTTTGAATATGCGACTTGATGCAATGTTTGTTCATTATCACCTTGACAGTTGCAAAAAAATTTCTAACAATTGGGATGACCAGCCTGCACACCGTTTTTTTCTTTGTAGATTTGTAAACGTCATCGTAATTTAGCTTAAAATTGCCCAATCTAGTTTCGAAACTTGTCGTTGGTGGCATTTTATAATGTCTCTGTCGGAAAACAGATTTTTTGCTTCATGACGTCTTTACAAAAGCTGGCTTAACGCTGAGAAGAAATAAACCAGCCTGATTAGCAGCACTTAAACAAAAAAGGTGATTGCAGTAGAAACATTTACCAGTGTTTGTTCGTGACATTCGTCAATGGTATTATCATTGTTGCGTTTGGGAATTCGTTCGGCTGGCCTAACGACACTTAACGCGGTAAAATCAAAGAAAAATGTTACTTTTAGAGTAACCAGTGGTGATGCCAGGCAGTCACGACATTTGGAAATTTTTTTAAGCAACCCCTACACAGGTAATATATGATAAACGCTCGGGAATCGAAGAATAACAAAATCAATCTGACTGTTAGCCCGTCCCTCTGAGATAGCCACACCATCATGGTTAGCTACCAGGCACACGATAGAAGAATAGCTGGAAGAACCGGAAGTATTCCATACTACAGCATACAAACTCAGAGGGCTAGAGCTTAGGGAGAGCTGGAGTGGGGAAAGGGATGGCCGCGAGGAGGGTTGGTGTCCCCCTCGGACTCACGGACGTGCCTTGAGGAAGGCGAGAGTGCGCGAAGGGGCGAGGAGGGCAAAGAACAGGCCAGGCCGGCGTGCGTGGGTTGAATGGCGCGCGTCACAACTAGGAACTTTGAACAGTGTTCCAGTGAAACCAGTAGAGTAAAACAAGGAGACATACGGAAATAGCATGATAAATGTTCTTCTCCTCAGACCGATGAAGCACTAGCAAGCAGTCGGACGAGGCAAAAGATTAGACTTGGGAAGAATACAACTTTTTTGATAAGCCAAGCACTCTCTTCTTTCCAACGTTCCCTTTTGCGCTTCCACTTGATGATCTTATGCCAAAGAGTCACCTGAATGTGGATACTTCCGTCTAGCTCATGCAAGTGGATTATAGAGCTCTGGTAAGTGTGGAAGCAACAATATCCTGAATTCCTTCTTAAGACCTTCTTGGCGTATCCGTTTTCCTAAGTGACCTTCGACAATTTGTCCTGCGAATGCAGGCGTTTATCGAAGTGTTTGAGACATTGGCATCAGATTTGCTCTGAATGCAAAAAAATTGTCAATTATTCAGCTGAAACGTACATGATTGTTACCATCAGCTATTGGTTCGGGATTGACTTTGGGTGCCAGCTGCTGACATCGAAACATCGTTGATCGCCTTTATCAACGCGTCCATACCTCTCGAAAGAAGTGCCGCAGAGGCCAGTCCTCAACCATGGCTCCACAAACGCATCAGACCAGCATTTAGAATCATTCCAAGAGCACGCAGTCTCTATCAACTGTTCTATGATGAAGTACGCTGTCATAGAGTTTTCCAAGTGTGATAGAGAAAATTTTTACTAAAAAAAACTAATCGTGCATCTCTAAATCAACGTCAGTGATCACAGCTCAATCGACGTAAAATTAAGACGCAATTGGAGCACGCTGCTTCCTCCGTTTTTGCAAACGTAGAAGACATCTTCAAGAGTTTGCCACCTTCAATAGAGCACAATATGCATTTGCATAACATCCAGCATTAAGGCCTGAAGCTTGCTTCGTATTATTCGAATGCGTCTTCTTTTGACACACCAAGAAGTCGATATGAGCAGCCGAATTCCGCAGAGCTCGCTTCACGAAGCTTACTTTGAATAAAAAACAAAGTCCTTCGCAACCTTCTTCTTTTTAAATGCCACAAGATTTTTTTACTTTTATCCTTCACATCCTTCTAACTATTTTAATCTGATATTACGTTAGCAGCAATATACGACACACATCCACATTTTGGTTTGGCTTGGTCGAAAAATAGTTATTATTTAAAAAAAATATACTTAATTTTAACCTGATTCCTCACATTTGAGAAAATTTGAATAAAGTCCGTTTACAAAACTAAGAGGATTAAAAGAAGCGGAAAAATAAGGGACATTTATTTATTATGGTCAATTTTAAATGTAAGTCATCTTAATTTGCATGTCCCAGGTTTTTCATGATGGCTTTAGCTTTTACAGTAATAGTTTACTCTGTTGCCTTCCACATGACTTGAAAAATCTATTTGCTTTTCAACGAATGAAGTGCACAAGGATTTGCCCTTTCAAATCCAAATCCACTTGTGACATCTTTTTCCGCATTGGCTCACAAATCGCAACCAATCGGTTTGCCACACAATATTTGCAATGGCATCATCAACATCTCAACAACATGACAAATAGTCAAATCAGACATGTTTTTACTCGTGTTAGTCTAGGTCCACTCCATCCACCCAACTTGAAGGAGCTAAGTGTTGTTTGAATGTGTCATAAGAAGCTCCTGTTGATATGGCTGAAAGATATTTTGTTCACTAAAAGGATGCGGATATATCACAAGAAGTTTACTAAGACATCTCGTGATATCGTGCTCTCCTTACAAACTGGCATTTTGTATTAACCCACAAATTTTGGTTTTTCTTCAATTCTGGTACTTACGTTCGGTTATTGTTAAACCACGGATATCAGTAAAGATGCCACTAATACAGCTCATATCAGTAAAGATAAGCTAAAAAATTACTGCAAAAGAAGTGAATGTTATATTCAAATAAAAGTAATTTTTTTAACATTAGACAAAACAGTCAACTGTTTCCTATCATCCTTAACATGGTTTAAACCCACCTATAATGAGAATTACAGCAACTTGATTTCCAGTAGATTTGATTTAGGTGGAGAATGTGTTCAGGGTTGACATGACCACAAGATACTTCAAAAATTGGAAAGCATAACAGAAAAACCTTCTTTTGCAATTGTTTTCGCCTTGTCCATTTTAGTTTTCAGGACACAGTGTGTATTTGCATAATGTAAAACCCAGCGTTTGTTGCATTGGCTGCACTACACGATGTGATGGCATGAAAATGAATACACACTGGAATAGGTCAAGTTAATATGTAAATAGTAAAATAACACATACTTTAAACTGCAAATGACAAAAAAATTACTAAAAGAGAATGAGATTACCTGTCTCCTTAATGCAGCACGTATAAATAATGTTTCTTTTAGGCATGGATCAAATGTGCAAATGGGCCCAAAGAACTACGATAATGTTGTCGTACATATTTTTCTTAATATTTAGCTTTATGTTATTTTGTGTCATTAACCCTATCAAAATGTCGCGAAATTTTGTGACAATGTATTTATTGTTTTACTGGATCTTGCTTTACCAGCCATTTTAGTTTCCAGCATTTGTCAGAATGAAGTCGCCGTCCTCCGATCGTAAGCCGAACCTCAGCAGTGGCAACAGGCAAGTATCTTTTTAATTATAGACTTTTTGCTGATTTTCCTTGGATGATGTGTGCTTTTCTATTCTTCCTTCGTGGCTTTCTTTTTAACAGTTATGACTAGTATTTTTTGCAACTGTCATCAGCCTTTGTGTTTCCTGATCTTGATTCATTGGTCGTTTAAAAATACTTAACATAGAATCTTTAACTTTGAGTTATCAATATTGTTAATTGAAACCGACGATTTTGTGTTTGCCAATTTGATATGCATCTACGCGTTGTCAATGGTGTGGTCTCATCGTCCTCTCGTTTCGCTTTTCTTGGGCCACTTATGCAACATGTCAATAATTATTTAATCAAAGTTTTATTGTCTTCATTTAAAAGCTTGAATTCAGTCTGGCTTCAGTGGGTTAGTTTGGAGGTAAATGAGCTGCACCACCATAATTTTCCAAATTTACTTGTTCGATGACCTTTTACTAATTTCTTCTGATTTTTTGTTTAGATCAAGGTCACGCTCGAGGAGCTGTTCCCCACGACGTGTTAAAGTTAGCTCTCGTCGTGTTGTTATCGCGAACATCCCATACCACGTAACATGGAACAAGTTGAAACAGATTTTTCGCGATCAGCTCGGTTTCACTGGCTATCTGCGTTTAATGAAGACAAATGGTCGTCCCAACGGCATGGGGTTGATGGAATTTAAGTCAGTCGACGGCGCAGAAAAAGCTATCGAAAAAATGCACAGATTCGAGATTGGTGACCGACGCATCATCGTTAGGGAAGAGACCTTGAGGGACCAAGAACGAATGGCTACGATGGAGTTTGATGGACCCTCGAACCAAGGCATGGACGGTGGTGGAATGGCCCCGCCAGCGTCCAGTCCTGGAATTCCTCCACAGGCCCGTAACAGTAGTGCAAACCCCGTTCCGGCTATCGCTAATGTCACTCCTAACATGCTTGAGGGCATGGGGATTCGGGGCCCCATTACTGATTCTCTCTACATAAGCAACCTTGACTACGGAGTTGATTGGCGGAAAATCAAGGATATATTCAAACTTGCCGGACGTGTTATTCATGCCTCAGTGAAGCAAGACGACGAAGGCCGTTCTCGGGGCGTCGCCGTCGTTCGCTTTGAGCATCCATATGAAGCCTTACTTGCATTGTCAATGTTCAATGGACAGGTAGGATATTATTCTGCTGGTCTAATGAAGGATCAATCTGGTCATATGTTTGATTGGAAGTGTAGGCCTTTCAGATCAGTTTCTGCCCAATTTCCTTGTCAATAAGTTGTCGTCAGTTGCCCCTTGCATGGTAGACTGTCGCAAATATCATGCTTTATTCCTTCACTTTGGTGTTCTTTAGCGAGAAGCCGGGTGCTTGGATTCCAACTCCTGGTCTTTAAGTAAACAAATTCGTTCTGATTATTCATTTAACTGGAAGTTCAGCTCTTTCACGAGCCCTGTTACTTTACGGATGTACTAGATGCGCATTCGGTCTCTGTATGTACAGATTTCTCGCCAGTTAGTGGCCGTGAGTTGTTTGACATATTAGTGAGAAGATCGCAGCTCTTATGTTTTATTCCTCGTTGTCACAGTGGCAGTTGTGTGCCGACGAAGCTGATTCTCCTTATCGCCTAATTTTGAACCAAAGCAGGTCTCATTTAATACGAATTTTAAGTTGAATGTTCTGTTGGCTGTTTTATCAACCACTTGGTCTTGTTATTTGCCTAGACCATCAATGATCGCCCAATTCGTGTCAAAATCGACCGGGACGGGACGCACGCTCCCCCTAATCACCCCGTCTTCCCGCCAACTCCGCAAGGCGCCGCTGCCGCTGCCAGTTTCATGGCCCACTTCAACAACGCCACAATAAACGCGGCTGCAGCTGCCGGCAAGACCTCCAATGGCCACCCACCCTTCGGTGTGCCTGGTGGCGGGGGCATTTCAGGTGGTGGCGGCGGCGGAGGCGGCGGCGCGGGTGGCGGTTTCCTGCCACCCCAACAACCACCTGTCTCATCACCTCCCGGCACAAGTCCCGCCCTCGCCGCGGCAATGGCTGCTCTGCTCAGTAGCGCAGGCAGAGGCATGCCCCCACAGGAGCTGCTTGGGAGTCTTTTGGGCGGTTCCGGAGTTGGCGGTGGTGCTAATTCCATGGGTGGTGGGGGCGGCTTCCCCGTCGGCGGTGGTGGTGCGATGAACCCTCTGAGTCAGCTGATGGGTAAGTTCAAGCGTCTGCAGCCTGTCAAGCACCGACGCCCTTGCCTTTTTTTCCTCATCCACTCAAAACCATCCCCTCCGTTTAGTTCCACGACTTAGTTTTACAACCAATTCTAGAATCTAGGTGTTGTGTTTCAGTCTAGGGAGTATCTAGAGGTAACTTTCTTCCAGATATTAGTGGAGTTTGGCTAGTGTCCGAATCAGACATCGATAGTTGTTGCAGACACGCAACTAGGTGACCATTTTTGTGAGTGGTCTTTGCTGCATCGCACCCAAGGGAAAACCAAAGGTGCTTTCCACGTTGTAGGCCTCCAAGGTGGCGCAGTGGGACCGGGCAGCGGGCCCGTTGGTGGCTACGGCGGTGCCCTCGGTGGCGATCGATCGCGGGATGCCAACGCGACCCTGCAGCAACTCCTCATGGCGGCTGCCGCTGGCGGAATGTCACAGGAGCAGATTGCTCAGGCAGTCTCAGCTCTCGGACTCAACAGGGTGAGTAAAATACCCCGGACATTGCTGTTTCTTTGACAACAGACGATTTTGGCGTCGTATCAGATGAATCTGGGAGTTTTTCACAAAAACGTGGTCTACCCATTTCCAAAAAATCGATTTCCGATTGCGCAAGTCACCTGCCCTATCCCAAGTCGTTGTAGTTACTCACACCATGACGACAGTGGTTTAAATTTCACCTTTAACACCGTTAACGCCACCTCAATCGATACTGTTTTGTAGTGTTGTGCTGCAGATTCTGGTTTTTACCGTGGCTAGAGGCCACATTCGGTGTCCCCAACTCTCTGCTTAGTTGGTCCACGTAGGTGTTGAGTGCTTGTAAGGTCACATTGAGAATGCTGTGTGCGTGAGGGTGCAAATCATCTGCGGTCGGTTTGTTGCTCTGTTGCAGCTTTCCGACTCTTCAAATTTCACTACTTTGCGCAATTGTAAGACCTCTTTCCGTTAACCTTTCAGGAGGCACCCGGACTCCCTCCCTACTCAGGCATGGGTGGGATGATCAACTCCCCGGTCGGTGGCAACGACCCCTACGGTAAGCTCCATTTTCTTCTCATTTCCAACAATTTGGAGTTTGGCGCCCATTCAAGGTCACTGTCTGCACACACAAGCACAAAATCCTGGCAGTCAGCCAACCAGATCACTCCACTCACGGAGTGTAGGCGTGGTTGACAGATCTGATCTTGCGCATTGCTTCACTGCGCGATCTGTTGGGACATCTGAGCACACTTTGATTCGCTGCCCCCACGACTTTAAATCACCCGGTGCGTTCTGATTGGTCGATTTTGCAGGTGATCGTGGCGGCATGGGAGGTGGTGGAGGAGGTGACATGCAGTCCCGTCGTCCACTTCACCGCCCCGACTACGACTCCAGGTCGCGTTTCCGTGACGGCAGTGGTTCCCGCGGCGGCTACCGACAGATGAGCAGCGATGGACGCGGAGGGCCGCGTGGTGGACCCATGGGCAGAGGTGACTCCGACCGGATGTACATAAGACGGGTACGTCGCCTTGTGCCTTTCCAGCCGGCGGCCTGATTCATCCACTCTTGTCTATCATCACGGTTCTTTTTGTCTGCGTTTAGTAACGGTGTCTGGCGCCCTCCTCCTCCTGCCTGTTGTGAGGTAAGTCGCATTGCATCACGACGACCCTGACATCCTGTGGTGTCTTTCTCTACCCCTCTGTGGCGGTCTTCGGTGTGTTCAGGAGTCGGCGTGCTCCTTTTCGTGGTTTCCCCACTCGCAGTCCGTGTCTTTCTGTCCACGCTGTGAATCCTGTGTTTCCTTTCGTGTTTTATTTTCCACCATTCAGGAGGGCTACAATCGGGATCACCTCTAAGTCCTGACTAATCCACAGCTCGCATGGTGGTGGTGCAGCTGGGCGTGCTAGCGATTCGTCGGTTTTGTTGTTGTCCTTTGATGTATCCAATGGCTTATTTCCGCTGCAGGTTCGTTTGACGCTTGTCTCCGCGATGTCTGTCTGTGTCCGTGTGCCGCTGCACTCTCTCTCTCTCTCCCCCCATCCCACCCCACCCTCCTGTCTTAATGTTAGTTGGCTGCGTCGAGTTCTACGCTCCTCCCTCCTTCAAACTTGTTTATTCTGGTGTTCTTATATTGCTCCGCCAACCCACCTGTCTCCACCTTGGTAAATGCATTCTTCAGTCACTTCTCCACCGCGTCTTTATGCCATAGCGTTTGAAATAAAAAAAAACAGCTGTAAATGGTGGATTTCCATTCGCTTTTGTACCCAACGTCTTCCGGTGTGTTCTAAAGCGATTGCCACTTTAAAATGCTCTCCTTGAAGGTCATGTTGCGGTTGGTTTAAGTAAGTTATTCGTTGTTGCTACTGGTGTTCTTGTTTCTCGTTTCGGTGCGAAGTCTTCTGTTTCGGTTGTACAATCTGGACGTGCGCGTTGAACCCACACAAGTAAGTTTTGTGCGGCGTGCAGATCAAAAGACACTAAAATGAGTCTGCCGCGTCTCTGCCTTCCTTAACACCGGTCTGAGGTACCACGGTTTGCTTGTCGTTAACACGAGCTTCCGCGGTCTCCGCTTTATTGATTTGAGTGCGGTTGCTGGCTCCTCGTGTTCTCAATCTCTGGTTGTCACTGAGTTCCTAGCCTAGTACACTAGCACAAGGTCACAAAAAACGACCCTCGTTCGTCGTGGACATCCTGGGGTCCCCAATATTGCATAACTGCCTGCTGTCTGATTGATTCACTCTCGTACTCTGCACCAAAACTGTGTACAGGTAGCTTGGCTGACACCCGATGTGCTTTGTGGCCCTTTGTTTGCACATAATCCACACGTGACACAGTCGGTGAAGCCCCATGGACGTTCTCGGTATCATTTCTCCATCGGAAGCAGTTGTATCTGGCGATGGTGACTGCAAATTTGAGTTCATGTGGCGGTTAGTTGTGTGTGTGGAGGTCCTAATTCCGTTGTTTATCTGATGTTTTGGATCGCTAGAATTTATTCGTTAGTATTTGTTTTACTGCAGTTTTTCCTAAATTTCAAGTTTTTACCGATTCCTCGCCTTTTTTTGTTGACTGTTTCGATTGCCTGGAGACGAAACAAACTGTTCATCTCCCAGTAATGACGTTTTCTACACCTTGGTGTGACTAAATCTGTGATAAGAAGTGGGTCGACTTGGCACAGATGTTGGCCAGCTGATAAGCCGACGACACATAACATGCTTTCAGAGTCATGTAGACGTCTAAATCACGTTCATGCCCTCCTCGTGTCCGTTTGTCGCAGGTGTGCTGTATCGCCGTTGAACCTCCGTAGCAGGTTGGTACTCGTTCTGCGATGACTGCTGAACCGTGACAATTTGGTTTACGAGGTGGGACTCCGTTGTATTATTGGCGTTGTTCATTGTTGTGGGCGTATTGTCCTAGTTGCTCAGGTTGCGAATTTGTTGTAAGTAATGCGATATTGAGGCTGATCGAAACCTACTTGGCATGGAGAAACGCCCCTTCTTACACCCCATCCGGTTGCTGAAGGAGGTCAAGCATTTCACTCGGATTTGAAGTAGAGAGTTGGGCGTGTGGACCCACGAAGCACACGCTGCTTCCGTGCTCCTTCTGTGCCACCTTCGTGTTCTTTTCGTGCTGTACCGCCGTTGAACCTCCGTAGCAGGCAGGTACTCGTTCTGCGATGACTGCTGAAGCGTGACATGCTCCACTTCAAATCCTTAATCAGACTGCGTCGATCGATGTTGAGGAGGTCACACTGAAGCTGAGGCAAATTTCGACGTCATGAGTGGACGACGAAGCATTTGTTCAAGCAGCCCGCTTTTGCAACTTCCTGCATCTTGCCTGTCAATTGCTCAAACTGGTTTGCCTTCTGAACTCCTTGTGAACGGTCACCTTCCAACTCCGAAACGTCCTCCCTGATGGGTTTGCAGCGTCATATTGTGTCCTGCATTGGAACTCTATATGGCGATATTCCATGTATGTGCTGTCGTTATTCTCGAATCAACGAGCCATGACGAAGAAAGTGGACGGGGTTCGTGTGGCATTACTTCCAGGCACGGTGTGATTCGAACATATTTATCCTGGTTTGGAGAAGAGGCTTCCGGTACTTGAAAAAATCAACATTTGGTATTGTAAACTCACACATCTAAAATAAATGTTTCACCCACATCTTCTTTTCATGCCAAAACGTCCTACTGGTGCGTAATCAGTAGTAGGGAAGTAGGTAGTCATGGCGAAATAAATTCCACGGGAAAGGGACGTTTGCATCCTGCTGCGATTTGGCACGGTCTCGGGCGCTTTCATTCACCGCGTTTTCCCAGCTAATCCGACAAGAGTAAATTTGGTTTAGTGTGAAAATTCGAATGAAATTCACGGAGTCCTTCAAATTCAGGCCGTGCAGGGGGTGATAAGGAAGCGGGTTATGGGAATATACCGGTGATAAGGCACCGGGCTCGTGGCAGATCACTCTTTTTTGCCTCGTTAGTTTCAGGGGCTGTTAAAAGGCACTAGAGAATGTGCGTAATCACAGCTGGAGTCGCAACGCGGCAGTCCCACCGCTTAAATTGAACATTTGCCGTCCCGGTTTCGTTTACGTGTGTTAATTGCGCAGCTGGAATTCAAGTCACTCCGAGTTCCCATGCTTGCGGACTCCTTGTGGCGCCTCGGTGTTCGTGTATCCATGACAGTGGACGCTGCGCTTAACATCTCTGCACACTGTCTTCTGATTGGTTGGTTCGGTGACCAATCGCGTGCCTAGTTGTAAAAACCCAAGATGTTGTCTCACGAGATTAAGCTTAGTCCGCGTTTGGTCTAACTTTGGAAGGTTGGTGTCTCTCTTGCTTTCATTACCCCCAATTTATGCCATCGATTATTTAACTCCATTTCTGGTATTTAAAATTATCATTGACGAAGGCTGCTAGCTACTTTCGTTTTTATGGAACACATAATGACGTTTCCATTTGCTTCAAACTACGTGTGTCATGGAGACTGATCACTTCGCCTACCGTGCGTCGTGAGTCAGACACACTAGCGGATCACAAATTTCCATCAAGCTCCCATTTAGTCTCTATCTGATTTATTATCTATGGAGAGTTGCAAGCGCATTTTTATCAAATTGGGGTCTTATTCCACACAGAGAACGATTTCTTCCATTTAAACTTCTACCAGTCAAACTCAGTGAACTCGCTAATCCCAAATCTTCAATGGATTAAATGTCGTGAACACACCAACTGATCGGTAGCCCTAATCGGCTCGGTTCTGATCGTGCGTGACGCTTGCGGTTTGAATCGATGGCTCAGAATCTTGGCTTGTAGTGCTGGTTGGCGTTGAACTTGGCAGTGTCTAGTTTCGCCGCCACGTGTTACGTTTGTAGACTCAGTTCACCCCCCAATTAAGACTAGGGGTCAGATTGGAAAGAGTTTGTCTTCACACAGTTCAATTATCAGGCACGACGAGGGCATGTCGACGCCACTGCCGAAATAGGAAAAATTCCATACGTCAACCTTGTGGCTTCTGCACTAGCCAATCACCCGGTGAAATCCAGTGGTGGATCTACTTTCAAAGAAATGCGTAGCTTAGGTTCGATCGATGTTTTTGAACGATTCTGATGTGTACAGCACACTGTTGGTTCAGTGCTTAGTGTCTAGGTCAGATCAGGATTTAAACCACGTTCACGTGATCTAAATCTTTGCGAATCCAATTAAACTATGCTTGCAGGAGAACAATCTTTCTAAATAGCATTAGCTGTTCTGCTTAACCTGAATACATCGGTTATTTTGTAAGCCTAAATTATCGGCGAATTTCATTGGTTGAGCAACCAGCCAATAGTAACGGTTCGTTCAGGGTCAAAACATGCCAGGCCGTAGTAAATGACTGCTCTAAGTCTAAATGGTTTGAATTTAGGTTACTTGTGTCGAGACCATAGGTACGCTCCAGAGTTTGGTGCGAGGAAGTAGTGACTTGATTGTTTTGACAGGAGTCCAGATCTGTCTAAATTACACAATTTCGCGATCGCTGAGCGTTCAAGGTCCGAGTCAGATTTTGAAAAAAAATAATAAACCGCAAATCGCATCGGATTGTGTCAAGTTTTAGTAAAACGTACTTTGCGTTGCGCATCACCCCGGCATTACCATTGGCGAATCAAGTTTGGCTCGGTTCGAAATGCAAACAGCAAAGATGTACAATGCGTTGCTTGGTGACGCAGGTCGTTCACTGGACTTCGAATAGCATTAGCTTAAGCCCTTTTGATGTCCACAACAACGATGATCAAATGCACTTTAGGAAGCCCTCGAAGGCATACACTATCGGAGATATCGATTTTTTCGCGCTAGAACTGTGTTTAAAACAGGTGGGTAGAGCCCGCGTAAGCCATTGGCGCCAAAGCCTAGCGAATTTAATTTCAAAATTAATGTGACTTTCCAGGATGAAGAAATATGGCACTTTTTGAAATAACGACATTCTCCTAACTCTGTATATTAAAAATCTACTAGAACAATCCGAATTGAGTAAATGTACTCACCAGTTAACCGGCGCAACAAGGTACTGAAAGGGAGGCTGGTGAACCTGAAGAATCGCAGCAACCGAAATTCATTCGTCGAAGGAGACGAATTTCCCTCCGGACTATCAACCTGGGCCAGTCAGACGTCTCTCTACTCGACTGGTAGGTCGATCGAACGATTCACACGCATGACCGCTTTGTGGAATATTCTCCAGGCTTAAACAGAGAAAATTTATGTGAATCATTAGTAATGTTCTTGTACTACGTAGACCTCACAAACTCAGGCGTTAAAATCATTACCTACCACGATCACCACCGCTCAACACTGCAGTAATTGATAGAGATGTGTTTTACGCGTTTACTGTGAAAAAAATCCGCAAAATATGGGCAAACATTTGGTTTTTTGTGTGCTTCAACTACGAGACAATTTTTTTTTACAAATAACCATAAGGGTCGTAAGCATTTGCTTTTCCCACCACTGTTGGACATCTCTAGGGTTAACCAATAGGATACGCGCTAATATAGTCGATGAAGGTGATTGGCTAGTTCAAAGAGGCAGTTATTATTTTTTTGGTAACCGTTTTATTTTCAGTTTCCACCACTCGAACTTTCTCACGGAAACGGGGTTCTCTCTTCCACTTCAGCGCCATCAATGGATGGAATAGTCTTCCAAAGAACTTGGAGCCACAATGCCAGGATCACGATGGAAAGGTACGCCGAAATTGAAAAAACACCGATTGTATTGCCTGGATGGTGTAGATTTTCCTGCGGATGCTAAGTACTGGTGATCATGTGAAGTGATGCTGTTCCATTGTTAATCGTCGTTGTTTCGAAGTAGCCTTGCCAATTTGTTTAAATGAGACACATTGAGATTCTGATATGCTTTATCATTAATGGCTCAACCCCTATTGGTCACTTCAAGGTCAGTATGGTTAAAAATTAGTTTTGTTAACGAGACATCAATTACGCTTATCTGTGGCTAGACTTTGCGTTGACGCCATTTCGGCTACATGACATGACCTTGAGGTAACCAATTGCGGATAACGAAATGAGGAAAACTGCGCAATGCAAGTTGAGCAAGACCACTGTGTACGATCTTCGCGCTGCGTGGTAGCTATGACAATCGATTTGCAGACGCTGTAGTGCTTGCCGCTTATCACTGTGTCTCTGAATCCGTTGCCTCATAATTACACCCACCAATCTCAGTTGGACATGTAATCTCAAGCGATAGCACATTCGCCAGGTTGAATAGCGCGTTAACGAAAAATCAATAAATCTGCTTGCCTTGTAGGTGACCTTGAGAGTGTACAATGAGGACGGCACATACAAGACCATCTTAATCGACGAAGATATGAGTGTCAAGGACGTTTGTGAAATCATGCTGCAGAAAAATCACTGCGACGACTCCATAATTAACTGGCAACTCTACGAGGAGCCGGGAGAATTCCCGGGATTTGGTGGGTGTTGTGACGTCCACTTCAGTAAAACAAACGCTTGATGTGCTTGGTATTGGTTGTGAAGAGCGGCTTGTCCAAATTCTAGCCAACTTAAGTGACTTGTTTGTTTAGTTTCCTCTGATTAGTCATGCACATATGCAGTGGTGTCAAGTGGAACAAACGACTGTGTCAGCTGGGCCAATCAGCAATCGCTAGTTGCAGTGTAATCGATAATCAGTTGAGCATCAGTTTTGGACGCACAAGTCTTGAGCCGTGCACACTAACGACACGACGCAACCACAAGAAATCTACCCAGGTTCCATTGTCTAATAGAGCCCACCCAAATTAAAAACGGGGTCATTAAAGGTCACAAATGATCAACCAAGTCCAATTAAGTGACATTCGCGTGCGTTAAGAGTTGAACCTCAATTTGCAATTCTTCTGTTTATTGGCTCATGCAGAACGCCAAATTGAGGATCACGAGTTTGCGATGGACCTGCAGCGGAGATGGCCAGCCTCCATGTCACCCAGCAAAATTTGGTTTCGACAAAACAGTCGAAAATACAACCTCTCCGATGGAATGGTAAGGCTTCCTTTTATCGATTAGCAGTTTGGCGGTTGCTGACCCTCAAGCCTATTGGCTGGCGGGCGGGATGACCTTGAGGAGCTCGCGCGAATTCAGTGGAACACTGCCATTTAAACTATTCTAACTTTGATCACGTGCATTCTTCGATGCCTGCAGGAGCGAATGATTCTACGAACTGACATTCCTGTTGTCGACCAGCTGACTCACGATGCCTTCCCACTTCCCGGCCTGGCAGAGGGTGTGGTTCTGTTGAAACGGCCTCAACGCAAGTGGGTAAAGGTCTTCTGCTTCCTGCTGATGTCTTCCATCTTCTTCACGCGCAAGGCCTTCCGTGCAGTGAGTTTTTTTTCTGGAAATTCGTACGCGTTTCTACGAATTAAATGGTGACTAAGCGAGATCGTCGCTACGCCAACTATTTTTCATTGATTAATCTTGTTCCTGGTTAAAATTGCCAAGAATACCTGGCTCAAGGGAGAGCGGTGATATAAATTTGCATGAATTCGACTTTAAACTCCACTGCCAACACCTCTGCTGCATCACATGTGAACAGTTTAAACGACGCGCGCAATTTCAGCGCTGTGGTTACACGAAACGCCACAATTCGCATGTCATAGTTTTCGGGACAAAGTACACGGATGAGTCATGCCATTCAAGATCTCGCCTTTTTTTATCTTCTTTTTAAAGTCTAAGAGAAAGGCTGAGTACCTGCTAGACCTGGCCAACATGGACGTCTACGTGCCCCAGGCTAACACTGAGGTGACCCGCTTCCTGAACACACCGACGCCACACACACTACTACTTGTGGTAAGCGAGTAGGGTGTTACTATTTGCGTCCGCTGTTTCATTGTGTAATAGCCATCCACATTTATAAACTTTAGCCATCTTCTATTGGTCTACTGGATCCAGAGGCGGTTTTTGCGATCGGCTTGAAGACAAGAGAGAGTCTACTAGCGTGGGCAGAAGGGTTGCGCTATCATAAGGTGCGTTAGTTTTGTGGCCGCATCTGATTGGTTCAAATGCTTTGTTTAAATGCTGCCTCTAATCGCAAAAGTTTCGATTTTGTCTGAATTCATCCTATCAAACACAATGTGGAATCTTTAAGTGACAACGTCGCCTAACCCAGCTACTCTTTCAGGTTATTGCATCGGTTTATTCTGACAGCAACCGGGTACTGAATTTATGATTAGTAGTATGTTGTTTTCGAAAAAAAGGCGGTCACATTAAATGGAAGCAAGTTGGTGTTTCTTCACAAATAATCTCGCGCCACGTGCTATTCCACACACAATGCAGACAAATTCACAACAATTTTAAAAGCAACAATAAAGCTATTGGTCCAGATTAAATTTTGTCAAATTGTGATTTTTGCGATTATCTGCGGTCGTGTTTCCCTAGCATGGGCGGCGGAAACTCAGTTCCAATCTGACAGAGGCTCTGGGTCCGAATTGCAGTGCCAATGATCGGGTGCGTTTATTGATTTTTTCCCATCTAGTTTAAATTGACTACTGTTCGGCTCAAGGCCAACGAGTACAGTTATTGATTTACTTGTGACGCGGTCGTATAAACATTATATCGCGTTGATTGAATTAACGTCTGGAATTCAGTTGGTAATGCACTACGAATCCAAATTAAAGGGCCAATGTATGATTTTCTTGCACCTACAACCATTATTCTTCGCCTAAATCACTGGTGACTTTTGACTAAAGAGCTCTACTGAAAAGGAAATATAGTAGTATGTTTGTTATAGGCAAGATTGATGATTAAGCATCTGACACCGCTGGTCCCTACCCAGTCCCTGTACATCAAAAATCGCGCAAAGGTAAATTAACTTGAACAGCGCGGCCTAACCGGATAACAAGCGCAGATATTTTAAAGCATTTTTCCCCGCTAATACCGGCTTCGTGTGAACCTACTACTAAAATGATGGTTTAAGTAGCTAGGTGTTTTTCAATTATTTTTGTGGTATTTCAGAATACCCGCAGGCGGGAGAAGTACAGGCAGACAACCGAACCAGTTCAAGTAAGTGCCTCTGTTTTGATATTTATTTAGGTGGGGTGTGGTATTCCGCCATTTATTTACGTACCTAATGTTGTATTATATCAGACTTGCGTCAAATCAAACCGGCCAATAGCAATTAAACTGCGCACGTCAAGTAAATGTGCAATTTCATCATTATTTCAGAGTATCGGTTAATTTGATCATTTGTTTGTCTGCGGTACATGACCTTGAAATCAGATTTAAATTTCCAAGGTTCTACTGCCTAGAGTACGGCGCATAATTGTGCATTTCGCTTTAACAAACTGTGAATATTGATCGAAACTCCACGCTTGGATTGCGCGCTCTGACTGCCTCCAACATCACCATAGCAACCACTATGTCCAGGTGGCTAAAGTGTCGGCGCAGGGATTAAAGCTGGATTGTCATTTGCTTGGCGACGCCTTTTTCACTCACAAACGCCTTGGTTTTGACGAAAACACGAATCAAACGCTATGCACAATAATGGACTTTGATACACGAAAATATGTTAAAAACGCATTGGCCAATCAAGAACGTGCATTTTGGAGGTAGGTCCCAAATCTGGACGTGTGGTGTGTGCAATACCAAATGAGAATCGAACAGTGTGCAGGTCAAAAGGCTCCAGCCAAATACCATTGTGCACACATTGTTCTCTGTGTGCCACTTTGCAATGTCGTTTAATTAGATTACTTTAGAGAAAATGAAGGATACACTGCCCTGGCTGACCTTGACATCTAGTAGTGAGCCAATGGGATTAACCCGGCCGATTTAGTCAAGAATGTGTTCATGGCGCGATATTACTGTGTGATTTTTTTCAAGTTCATTTCATTCTAGTTTTCTAGAAATTAATTTGCTTGATCAAAAGCTTTTATATACCCCGCTTGTAAATGTCTGTTGGCATAGAGACAAAATATTAAAGGAAATTTTCAAATTTTTTTTCTTGAATTCACCTTGAGATCATCCAAACAGTTTTTGATTCTTCGATACAAATCACAATCAGATGATTCAAGGTCAAAGGAGTTTGAAATCAAAGCTGCATTCTTGGCCAATCACTTTCGAGAAATTTTTGGCATGTCCGACCTATGGGGACTACTTCTGTCTCAGACATTTGAGGGGTTGTAGCGGTATTATTTTAAGACCACTGTTTCTACATATTTATAATGAAGGCCCTCCACATTGTCGTCTCTGGCACCCGCAGCTTAATAAAATTTCATGTCGCCATAGTTACACCCACTCAGAAATGGGGACGTTTAGTACTCAAACTAATTGTTGACTGCATTGATTTACCGAATTTATCGCGTCCAGATATTTGTTAGCTTGAAATTTATTTGATTGCAAATTTCACATAAAAGAAGCAGATCCAATTATTAGCCATCATTGCATGCGCAGGACAGCCAATGACAGTGCGTTCTGATAAGTGTTTGGCAGTGCAACGATACGTGTTGGTGTTTGTGCATTCGCGGATAGAGATTCAATGGTGGTTTTGCTTCGTCACTATTTGAAATCCCTCAAGAAGAGTTCTTTGAAGAAGGTGGCCCAAATTCTGTCCTTGTCATTGGAAAACTAAGACGGCTCGCGATCGATTTTCGATCATCGCCAAGATTTCTGTTCTCATCTTAGAATGTCTTTCTCTTCTCCAAGTCGCGGCATATTTAAGCGGTATTTAAATCCAACGTTTACTCTTTGACAGAAAAACACGACTTTTTTTTTACACTTATAGACCTTATGGGGATGTTCTGACTCAATGTGGACATCCGTCGACGTCCAGTGTTCACCTAAGGTACGAACTACGAAATCCTGCACTTCGATTTGGACCTTCCTGGGTTCATTTTGTGCGTGTCTTTTGTAGGTTCTGTCCGAACGACCAGACTTCAGCAGCAACAAGATCGCGGCATCTACGCCGAAGGTAGGCTTCCGTAGTACATCCCAGGGTCAGTTGTCGTTTTTTAAAAAATAAGAATGCATGAAATAATATCCAACCAATTAGCAACACAAAAAAATTTGACCTTGACGGCACAACGTCTTTGATTGATCCGGTCACGATCGGGTTTTCAAGGCCACTCCAAGGTCAGGCAGGATTCCCAAAGAGCCATGGGTTGTACATGCTCACTTGCTTCATTTATTAAATTCACTTTTTAGAATATTCGAAGGAGCATCCTTAGCCAATCAGAAGAAGTCCTTGACAAGGCAACAACTGACCTTGGATATCAGGTGAGGTGTGAAAAAATGTGGCCATTATGGCATCCAATCAGGTGATGACCCTTAACTTTGTGGAGATTGATTTTGTATATATGAATTTAAAGGAAATCGGTTTTCTAAAACACCTGATTTACCTGTTACAGAGGGTTTGTTTAAATTATCGCTCACCGACCAATCAGTGACTTCTCATTTGTAGGCCAATCAAACGCCCATGGCGACCAGACGCTCCTCTTGGCTGCTCGACACACCAACTGGAAATGAACTAAATGGAAGTGGGCTCAACTTCCCAAAAGAAGATGAGTTTGCGCAAAATCTCGAAGGGTAGGAGCACATGACCCCTTACGTTTAAATGCGCGTCGATTTAAAAGAAGCGTGATTGGTTCACTTTTGTGTGCTACTGCTCAGTTGAATCAATTCGGGATAACCTATGACTCATTTTCAGCATATTTTTGTGGCCAACGCTTCCCCTAAATTGTAGACAGCCTGACATGATGCAATTTGTCCACTAGGTATTGCTAATCGATATAACCCAACACTTAGTCAATCGCTTCAATGTTTTCGACTTGAAAATCCACCCTCGAAAACCAGATCTTAGCGCTATCATGAAAATATTTTTGAATATTCTGCTCGTTTTATGATTTTAGAAGCAACTACCCATTCGGTTTCAATTCATTTTTAATCCAAGCAAGATATTCTGAGTCTTTTGCTTAGGTATTCATTTGTGGTGCATTGAATTGGCGCGGATAGGTTCAGCTCAGTAAAACACACGTTTCAGGATTGCTCTGTCAATGACCAGAGCAAGGCAATAGTCGCACAACTCCTCGACAGATTGCAGAGAGATTGTTATTTCGCAAATATTTACTTGTTGAGTGTACCCTAAACACAATGGCATCGTCTCTTCTTTAAACAAAATATCACTGATCGTGGTCAACTTAAACCATCCAGTATGACATCAGTCGAAAGTGGCCATGTTGGGTAAACCCTAAATCAGCCTTATTTTGTCAAGTTTTGTTTATGGTTAGATTTTTCGTTAAACAATATTTAGGATAATCTTCAATTCTGGAAAGCCGGCTCTTCTTCTGGACTTGCAATCGGAGGCCCAGAAATTCCCGATCGAAGCAAGTTTTGGTGTTTAAATATCGTGACCGCACACAAAACCCCAAATCAATATTGACTTTTATTCAGTGTCTTTGCAGACAGAAGGGTTTCGTTTGATGGTCATGTTGAATTGGTCCTTGCAGATCCTGGATCCACAGCCTGGGGATACCAAACGCTACAAACTGCCCTTCCGTCCGGAGAAGTTTGAAACCCTAGAGGAACTCTGCCGGTTCTATGAGTCAAGACGGGACCTTCTGTATGCCTTTGAACTGATGGAGAGTCTAGACAGCTACTACACCCAGCTGCTGACCACAAACAATTCCCGCCGCTCAGTTGGCACTCGGACTGATCTGAAGTACGACGCGGCAACGGCCTTTTAGTCCTTGTGATTGGTTTGCAATGAAGGACGCTATTTTATTGGCAGCGTATTTGAAACAACTGTGATTTTCATAATTGATGTGACTTGTGCATTTTGTCGGTGTGATTGCTATTGACATTTCGTAGTATAGGTTTTAGATCCTTGATTCGTAAAATTTAAAGCGGTGAATTGTGCTGTTGTTATTTTAAATACAAATAGATGTAATAAACTATTTATGATGACTAAATCATTCGTCTAAAATGAAACACAACAGAAGGGCTGAATTAGTGTCATACAACTAGCCAAAAAGCAAGTCAAAAATGCCACAGATTATGTAATGTCCAAGCGTTATTTTATTGTTAGGTAGAGACAAACTTTGGTTAACCTATGGGATCAACGTCACATGAAATATTGAAATAATAACCATGCAAATGTGACGATAAATTAAAAGGTATACTGACTTGACACTCTTAAGTTAACAGGCATTGAATTATGATTTCCTCTGAGGGTAACGGAAAAATTATTTAAAAAAAGTACTGCACAGAAATGAACAGCATTTTTCACTTTACTTAACTCGTTAAATAAAAAAAACGTGTGCAAAAATTAGTTTTACTATAAAAAAGTACTTTTTGCTGTTCAGTCAAAATCAAATTTTATTTTTCAGCATAAAAATATGTTCTGCGTAGATTCTGTGCAGGATGCTCAGTAAATTCATTTGCAAAACGAAATATTCATTGCAACAAATGCACACAGACAAAATAACTAAACTGCCTAATGATCGTAGAGCACAATTTGCTATACCAAATAAAAATAATGCAAATGTGAATCAACCAGTCAATTACGGACCAATTTATCCAAAAATATCAATCAGTTGAGGATATTTCAGGTTGATTTATAGATATGAATTGGATGAATTTAGTTTAAATTTCCATAGAGTAATAAAAAAACCTGACCAACATTACTTAGCAAATCATTCACTGCAGGCTAAAGCAATTCAAATTCAACACTATTAGACCTTTTTCCAGCACATGATCAAGTCTCAATTATTCAAAGTTAAACGACTGTCAAAACGTTGCTTTATCGTTAGTTGACCTAAAAATCAACTATTTTCACAAAATTAAACCAGTTCAACCTAATCCTTTTACAAACAGAAAAAATTTAGGGGTATTTTTAATATTCAAGAATTCTGAAATCCGAAAAAGCGAAGCCGTCTCCATGCGGAAATGGAAGAAAAGCTACTCAGTCTGAGCACAAATTTTAATATTTTCAGCAAAGATACTAGAATATATATGCATACTATGTTTTAGTTATATTTAGCAGACTGGTTAGTGAATTCCATATTTTTCTTTGAATTTGTTTAAAATTCTCAACGCTTATTTATAGTGTATATTGCGCTATTCTAAACCACTTTAACTTCAATGCAATCTTTATCATTTTCAAATTGATGCGCTACTTATTGCATTTAATCGTTGTCTCATCACATCTTTATCTGGGTATGCTAGTAATTAGCTTGATTTTAAGGCCTATGTATGGAGTGTTACGTTTGTCACAACCAAGAAGGAAACAGAGACAAATGTGTCAAAACTTCAATGCAATGCTTACAGGATGAAGACACTTGTATGACAAATATTTCCTACACAGGTAAATTAAATTTGTGTCATTCATGATGATTTGCTTAAAAATGTCTTTTGTACAATAAGCCCTCACGTTTAGTTTTACAAAAATATAATGTGCAGCTTTACATCACCACAACATTATTTTATAAGTTTTCCGATTTTGGCTTTTGAATGCTTTCGCAAAGTACATAAGCATAGATACTACTGTTGTTCTGTCATGGAATACAATCTTTTTTATTAATAGTCGGAAAATTTAATTATTTTGATGTTATATCAAAAATTAAGTGATCGTGTTGCTATATTTGTAAAGATTTGCTTTACAGATTGGTAAAACTAATCAACAACTTATTATTTCAACTTTTTAAAAATTTGCCATAATCTCTGCATTAAATTCTTTAATTCTTCGGTTTATCAGCTGTGAAAAATAAAATTGTTGATTATTTTCTCGATTAGTGTGAGAAATTTTTTTGACGATTTTTTGAATTAAGATATTTTTCTGGTTGATATAATTAGAAGAGAAGACGTATACGTTGCATCGGTTTTTACATACAGTTTGATCATGGGATCCACACAAATTGGCAATATTCATTTGTGCTAAGCCCTTTGTGCAATAATTGATCCATGAATAAACCGGTGAAATAGTCAGTTTTATCACCTGCTTTGGCGCTAAAAGCGGGCTATTTTTCAGTATGAATACCAAACGACGATTTATCAATTTTTTGCAACATATTCATTACGTCACACTCATTTGCCGCTCCGCTTATTTATTTCCAAGTGTATCCACGCTTAAGAACTTGTTCCCGAATCAACGATTACATTAAAACGATTCCACATATGAGGAACTCCTGAAACCATTTTTTGAAACAGAATTGGTAAAGTGCACCTGAGTAACTCCTCACTTATCGAAGTCAAAACTGGTTTTACAGATTATTTTCCTTGTTTACATTTGATAGAATATTTCATTTGCAGTCCGAATGACTTAAGCTTTTAAAATTTTCCCTCCAGTTCCGCCTTATTGGGAACCGTTTGGTGACAGAAAACACTTCTTATGGAAATCCTGCACAACGGCAGCTAACTGCGAGAGTGAAAAGCAAATCGCTGGGAAGCATTGCATGCGAGAATGGTACATGGATTGGCGCTGTGTCGAGTGCTGCCAGGGCGAATTATGCAACTACTATGCAACAGTAAGTAGCGAGTGCGTTTTAATTTTTTTTTGCAATCTGCTGTTTTCGAGGTCAACCTCTGCCTCCGCCTTCAATTTGTAGTTGAAATCGTCACGGCTCGTGATGAACCCGTGGGTCCTAGCATTTGCCGTTGGAATTACAGTCACTTCGTTCCTACTTCCCACATTAAATTTAACGCAATAAAAATACAGCCACGCCAAACCCATCCCCTACTCCTTACTGGATATCTCATGAGCTGGCTTCAAAGTTAAATGTCATTTTTTCTCAAAAACACAAACACGAAAGGGACTTTTAATCGAATCATTTTTGTTTTGGTAAAAAAACATTAAGCTAAGAAGTCTGAAAACTGCTAGAAGAAGCAGCACGATGGAAACAACATCATGGAACCTTTTTTGTTGTAAATCTACGGTAAATCCAGACTTGAAGGATGCAACCGATTAAAATTTACTTCAACGATCATTAAAACAAGTACATATTTAACACCAGGCTTTCGGCTTATTTGAACCAATCAATGAGGTTACCGGGTGGTCGTTTTGCTCACACACTCGAGTTGACCAATAGAACGCGAACTGCAAGGTCATATTTATGTGTGTGTGTGTGTGTGCATATGTTTTATTGACGCGGTTTTAAAATTTCACCCCATGAACAAGGAATTTATCTCTAATTGTCTCATAAACACATAATGAAGCAGCTTTGATTTGTGCGGTAAAAATAAACACGCATTTGTTTAGCCGAAGTACAATTGGTAAATTGACACGTGCACCATGGTTGTTAGGAGTTGTGATTATCGACTTCTGCTGCAAAGAAGTCAACTTCATAACGTAATAAATGGCAAGTGAGTGCTGTTATTCACTTCTGCGTTGGCATTTATCTCTGCGGAAACCATGATATGAATCGAACCAATCACCGTTTTCCATTGATTACTGGACAAGCCCTGGTTGACTCATTGTTAAAAGTCATTTTGTGAACGCCAATAGTAATTAAGAATACATACGAATTTTTGACAATAGTACGATAGTCATATAACCAGGTCGCGTCCATAGTTTACTTGATTGAAAGTAATTCACGTGCACACAAAACTTCTGGCGTTATATGTAGTCGGGGCACTGCACCACTCAAAATCAGTGAAAAATAAGCGCGAATTCTAAACACCGATCCACTGTGCCTTCTTCACATCCTAGACTGACTTCCAGTGGCGAGCCTTGAAGCTGTTCCATGCAATTTTCCAGAAATAACAGATAGAGCAAGGTAGTTTGTGGATTCGTTGAAAACATCCACCATTGGTAGTTTATTACTGCTGCCAATCGTCGACTACCCCTCTCCACGCATTGTTGTTGATTCAAGTAACTTAATTTGACCTGAAATTGTGCCGTGACCTGGTTTTAGGCACCTAAAGTGCTTGTAACTGTGCCATTTTATCAACATACGGGGGAACTGAGTTCATTAAAAATATCTGAATTTTCCCCCGAATCTCTTTTTCAGTTTGAATAGCTAGCAAACTGAAAAAAATCGATAAAATCAACCTAGCAGGAAGAAATCGATAAAATCGATTTTGCACCGAGCCAGTATTTGACGACTACCGATTTTATCAGCGATACCTCACCTTGATAAGATGGAGGCCACCAACTAACCCGAAAATTTGAATTGATGGTGGCAAATTCACCACATTCGCGCTTCGGAAATAAATTAATTTCTTGCAAAATGTCATGAGACTCGTAATTTTTCACAAACGTCGTGGATTTTTTGTCCTACAACTGTTATCCCTCAGACAGATATTTGTAAATTTTGAAATAAATGACCGAAATTGGGTCTGATAGCTGTTATTTGATGGATACATAATCCAGTTACATCAGATTTTAACGGTACACAAGAAAACGACTCAAAGCACCCACCTAGTCACCGTTAAATTTATGTGTGTGAAGTAATTAGCAGGCCCCGTGGGATCTATAAAACAGTTAGGTGCCAACTACCTGACCACAATCACACGCGCATTCTGTTAGAAAATTAAACCCGGTAAATTGACCACCCCCTTATTTTCCTCCCTCCACAGCTTGTTTTAAGGCGTTGTGTTTACAAGAAGTCGTGTGCCTACGTGCACAATCAATCGGCTAACACCTGTCTAACCTACACGCAGCCAACAAGGACGGTATATCTACGCAACACATCGTCACGTCTACTGGTAATTTAGTTGCGATGATCTGTTGGTAAGACGCAATATACCAGGGCGTCGCACACGCACACACAGGCTAAGTGCACGGTATTAGTGACGTGGCAGCTGAATTCATAGTTTGAGAACGAGAAAGAGAGGCAGAACGAGATTTGGGCGTAAGAAAGTCAAGAGACATGTCGACAAATGTACACTTTATGAACACAAAATCACAAGGCACAAGCGCGTACACAACACTCCTTAATACCCGACGTTGTGCACAGTGGACATTGGAGTGGCCCTGGCAATCCGGTGGTGCGTGGGTTCTTTGAACAGGGACCGCAGAAGGTAGACTTGACCAACGGCGACGACGACTATGACGAGGGCGTGGATTATCGAGCCCAAAGTTACCCGGTCGTTGAGGGCTTCCACGAAGCTTCGAGATGAGGCCTCTTGCAGACGCACCTTAGTCTGAGCTGATGCAGCTTTTCTGAGGTTCTCGTGAATAGCCACCACAACACTGTCCATCTACAAATACCAGATGTGCGAATGCCGACTGTCAGCAATTACAAACATGGTATGTTTTTGAGGCTACGCGCATAACTCAGAAAAACTGAACATTCTCTCAGGTAATAATTACCATTGTCAATGGTGATTGTTGATCGTCAGACAGATCCTTTTCCCGTTCAGACTCCATTTCCCAATTCATGTAAACGACCTTGTGTGTTACCGAGGAGAATTCGTTACTGAAGCACAACTGAAAACAACAGTGAGGATAAAAACTCACAGCCAAATATTACGGTCACCAAATAAAATGCTTGCCTCGTGTTCACCAGCGACCTGAACATCGAGATCGAAGTAATCGTACTGTTCACGCTGGAATGACTTTACAACATTTTTGAATGGATCACGGAATGTGACATCAACATCGAAGTTCCCACCGGATATAACCTATACAATAACATAGAAATTTAATCAACAAAAAGTTTTTGGGATTATATATAATGTGCTTATGCTTAATTTAATTTCTGACAATAATCGGGGGCTACGAAATCGGAACTCAAATCCACGATAAGACAAAGCATTGCAAAACACTAAAAGGGGATTAGACCGGATTTTTGGGCGAAGGAGAAATACGTATTGCACTGTCGTGCAAAATTATAAACAGCGAAATTCAAGAGGAAAATCGCAGAATCAAGTCTAGCTTTAAACAGTGTTAAAATTATAACCAGCTTTAGGAAAGAAACAAATTCAAGCCTAGTTTTGCAGCACTCAAAGTGTTTTAAGGAAGTTACGAACTGCCCAATGCGGCAAGTCGAAAACAAAACCGAAAGAAATGTCTTAATAGCAATGGATTGTGATAACTAAAAACTGTAGCCATTTGCAAAAGCCATTTTATGAGCATTTTGATGACAATTTACAGAAATTCAAAAAGATGAGTAGACTAAGACAACAAAAATTTTACCTGGAACTCAACGGTTGTACGTTCTTTTTCGCGAAGCATACCATAAAAGCAACGACTGTCTCCATCAGGCAGCTCAAATGTATATGAGCCTGCATTAACATAGCTCAGAAACTGGAAAAGAGCAACAATAAAAAAGGCAGACTTGATCATCCCACAAACTTAAGAATCGCGGGTTACTGGAAGCGCAATTTGGTTGGTCCGAAATGCTTTGCTAGGTGCACAGGTATAGCAAAACTACTATATTAGTATTTCAACCTTGTCTCACTTATATGACAAATACTACATTTAATGTTTAGCTGTTGCATATTAAATAAGGCTTTTTTTAAATAATGCATCGTATTATGTTTTGGCTTTAGTGGTGCAAGTCTTGTGTATTTAGTATAAAATTTATGCCTCTTTTAGGTCATGCAGTGTTCTAAAGTGAGTAACCACAAAAATTCGGCAATGCAACCACTTCCAAAATAACCTAATTCTTAATTATGCGTAATCATAAACACATCCGAAACCAGATATTAATGATCCGTCACCATAAAACGCTCAGTATTTCAGTTTTCTATAAATATAAAGCAGCAAATGGCTTAGCAAATTTATGCCTAATTTTCTGCTTAACACAGTTTTCTGCTCCCTATGACCTTCTGTGTTTATTAGAATATTAGAATTAGCATCATAGCAGTTACGCGAACGCAGTGGGTGGGATGGTCTAGCACTCCCTCGGTTATGTAGATATTTGAATGCACAAATCAAATATTGCTGCCATGTTAAAATAAAACTAAAGTTATACCAAATTAAACTTTACCTTATCAAACCACATCATACAAAGATAGTAAACTATAGCAGTCACAGTAAAAATTGATTATCGGAAATTAGCCACACTTAAAAAAAATGTGGCTGTTTCATGTCCACGTACATTGATGATTAAATATTTATTGGTCTACCTCGGTGGTCAGCAGCATTACGGCAACACAATTTCTTGTTATTAAAGTTTAGGACTTAGACTTTAAGCATGCAAACGCTGCGAGAATGTTAATAATAAATTGTATTACACGAATATAGGCCAATCATTCAAAAAATGTCTAAAATTGCGTTCATTATCGAAATTGGATGAGAAATTGTTATGCTGTAATTAGGCCCCTCATACCCATATTCCACTGACTGATTTAGGAAACTGTAATTTCACTGAAATTTCAAGTACGTTGTTTGTGTTTGCTTTTACATAAGAAATATGATGATGAAATATTGAGACGATTGCTGCACATTCGGTTCGTTCCACACTCAATTCTAACGCCAACCATTAATCCACAACAAATCAAGGGGAATAAAAGAGTCTTCCACATCTTCTTGCTAAGTTCAAAACTCGGTTCAATTTAAAATTCCGAATATTCGCCACAGTTAAGCCACATTTACCATTCACATGGCCATTAATTCATCATAATTTCTATAACTTTACTTACGCTGTAATCATTAGAAACTCTTGTATATATTGACAAAACGCTTTGTACACAAAAGTGTGATGCACGTAGTTTTGTTCGGTTATATCCTTTCTCTTCCCAACGCGCTCCCTAATTAAAAACTTTTAACTTTATTTAAGTACTTATTAGTATTTTCTTCAAAACAAAGAACTAAATAACTTTTTAGATGCCTAAAATGAAACAAGGTGGTGTGAGTGTTTGAATCCACAAGTCTTTGTAAATTGTTTCTAGGTCGGGTCTGGCGCTGGAGTTGGTATAGCGCGCGAATAGAGTTATCACCCTCTCAATGACAACGCTAGTTGAGGCGCTTCAGCGAAAATTTAAAGATCTCGCTGCTGATGAATTATCTCCAGAATGCAAACTAAAGCCCGCCTCACGTGCTGGTATTTCTTGCCTCAATCTAATCAAATTTAATATTCCCATTTGTTCAGGATATGAAAGCCCATCATCAAAGTTTAAGAAAGACTTATGTATTAAAATCTAGTTGATTCGGTCAGATATTACAAATGTTTATCCAAATCTATGATATCTCCTTTTCAAATCCTTCGTAACTCGTTTTAATAACTATACATTGTTTTATTTGACTATTATCAGCAAATTTATAAAAAACGTATCAAAGCATTGTCATAAATGTATCAGCATATTGTTTACTATGTGGATTACGCCTTTACACCACATTCTGTGAAGTGACGAGCTTCAGGGATGCGAATGATTTGTGTCCATTTAACCGGCATTTATTAAATCGCAATTTTTTTATTTAAGGTGGCACCGTCCCTGTTTGCACACGTGTAATAGCAATGGATCATCAGGAAATCAGTTGCATCGGCGACCCGAAAGAAATGGGTTCCATTTTTGAGGATGTTCGCGAATTGGATGTATCTACAAATCACATTCGTTTTTGGTCAGATGTAAGTTGAACATAAACTTATTCATATCTAATTGTTTTGTCATAACCCAAGGGAATTATTACTGAATTAAAACATTAAATGATGCGTCAAACAAATGCTTTTCTAAATCAAATTTCTGTTTGTAAATCTGCCTTGGTCAAGTGCCATAATGTCTTATTTGCAAGCTTTTATATAGAGCTGTAAAATTTGACTAATGGATGCTTAAAGATAATTTTTAATTGTATGTTTAAAGGTATTTGTTCTTCTGGAGAGTTCACCCCAACTTCAATTCCTCAACCTCAGCTACAACCCATTGCACGAGTCCTCTCTTTTCTGCGAATCAGATCGGTTACCTGACCTTTCTACGCAAAGCGCTCTATCTCATAACAATAATTGCTGTGCAGATTTAGGATGTGATTTAAATTTACGAACAAATTCCAGTAATTCAGCAATCAATTTATTAGTTGAACTTTCCCTCAGTGAATATGAACGGCAGAATGAACAATGTAAATTGGTACGTGCGTAAAACTACCTACATGATTTGAAAATCTTATAATTAAATATTTACGTTGATTAAATCTTCACGAGTAATTAAGTAAAATACTATTATATATCTAAAATGCCTGTTAAAGGTTCTCCCTATACAGTTTTGCCTAAGAGCGTTTAATACTTCAAAATTTTCTCTTAAGAAATCGCGTTTCTACTTTTAATCTTTTCTGACCACCGACTATGTCAGAATGACTTCCAAGACATTCAGCGAAGATAAAATGCATGGTAAATATTTACTGCAACTGTTAGATTGCGTAATATGGAATTATGACAACACTATTTGTGGAAAGTTAATTAAACCAAGTTCAGACAATTGACACTAGAGATACTGCGACGAATGCACAATTAACTCGCTAATGATGCGAAACTTTTTCAATGCGTGTAATTGTTGCTGTTGTTATTGATGCTTAAAATAAGGACGCCTGCTGAAACAAAGCACTTCGTTGGAGAAACTGTTAATAAATGAATACAGCACGTTTTCATTGTAGGACAAATGCACAAATGGTAGAGCAGAAACCACAGGCCTCTGCCAACCTCCGAACACTTCAGCAGTCTGCCTTTCCCACCAACTCAACACCCTTATGCTTAATTCCACTCACGTCCCCTGGAAACGTGTCCTCATCCTCTTGAACTACCTTCCCAAGTAAGGCTCTCTCTTGCCTTTTAGTCTCTGTAACCTGCTTTCTGCGCAGAGTACACTGTGCGTCACTCATAGGCCTATTCACTGAACCCACATTTAATCCAGCCAATCAAAACACGCTCCGCGTAGCTTATCACAATCTGGCCGTGGTTCGAGCAGCTGTGCATCGATCCGCACGATCCCACACAACCCAACTTGTAGTGTAGAGCGTAGTGAGTATCTGCCAACCAACTGCACTCTGACTACCACGACCACAAGTCAAGAGAGTCACTACAAGTTTCTGCCGTGTCTACAACCTGTGCCGGTAGTGGAGATGCTGCCACCATGAGAGCTTGAGAACGTTAATGCAAAGCTGAGATATCTTCTGTTTCGTGTTGCTGCTCGACCAAACACAAACTGGGCAAACGGAGTGAGCATTGAGCCTGCAACTGCTGCACTACCTTCAACACTGCCATTGTTCACGAACTACCATGCTGACGCAAGTCGATAAGTAGATGAGGAATGCGCATTCGTGTTAACCTTGCTGTGGTTGATAATGAGTTTCGCGTTTGGGTGTTCGTCTGAGGTTGCAGGGATCCGTTGTAGCCCTGACACGGCGCTCGCTCTCTCACAAAGTGCCTTTTACACCACCACTCATGTAGTGCTGGAAGTGAACGCTGTCTGCGGTTCGTAGCCTGTCTGTGGAACCTCCAGCAACCTGGAAATGTGTTGGTCGACGAGTCATTTGCGCCAGCGTAGTTTTTTTCTGTGAAGGCTGTCTTTTCCAAATTTTGACGCCTTCTGCTATCGCAGAATCTCACTAAAACGTTGCGTTCAGCTCAGCAAACTGTATCTCACTCCATACGTTATGGTCGACTGATGTTTCTCCAATTAGGCGAATCGGGTGTTTTCGCGTTTAGTGAAGCCTAAATAACGTAGCCCTTCTCGCCTCAACCAACTGCGTAATTTATTATTTAACGTACGGCGCGCAAAAACCACTTTAATGGTCCTACGTTATCCCACCGATTGCACTGGTTATCCCTGGATCGTCTAATCACGTGATTCCTCTAACTTCACCTCACACACCATTGATCTCCACTAGCAGAAACCCTTCACGCGCGGTATACTGTTTACGTGACCTTCAAAAACAGCTGATTGGTCAGCTGGCTTGGCTCTTTCCACCAGGTGACATTCGGTGCAGAAAAAGTCGCCTTTTGTGTGCAGCGTTGGTCTTGGCGATCACTTAATTTCGATTTTTCACTGGAGTCTGCATTGAATTGAATCGAAGGCCTGCGTGAAATGCGTGTTTGACCGAGCGAACGTTAATGTTTAATTTAGGTCGATTTGGAACAAGCCGGATTCCGTCCATCATGTTGACCACATCGCGCGCCATTGTGAATTTTAATGTGCTTTTCACAATCTGCACTTTAATCCACGTGTATTTTAGTGGGAAAACGCACACGCACTCATATTAGACGACGCAAGAAACACGAGCTACGGTGACATTAATTGCCTTTACGTACACCTTAATAATTAACAGTAAATTTGCATATTGTGTGTTTTTCTGTCTGCATTTTGAAGTCTCACAACCCTACACACCGCGCTCAACGACTACCGATATTGTTGCCAGGAGGCAACGACACAACCAGATCGACAGGACGTCGCAAATTGCGCCTCCTCTTTCCCCAACCTCACCCACCTCTACTTCAGTGAGAATCGCATCGACGATTGGGCGACTGTCTGTTGTCTGGGCCGTCATTTTCCGGGTCTGAAGCACCTGGTACTCCTCAAGAACCCCCTGCCGCGGATTCAGCGGCCTCCAGGGGACGGGTCGGACCCGTCTCCGCAGATATTTGCCAATTTGATCGATTTGAATTTGACGGAAACGCAGATTTCTACCTGGGAGTGCATTGACGCTCTCACCTGGTGGATGCCATTTTTGAGTTCTCTGCGATTGGGCAAGAATATTCCGCTTGTCGAGGTGGGAGGAGTAAGCTCTTGTTTGAAAAACAACCCTCGCTAGTTCGTCTGACCATCAAACCACACGGGAGGGGGGTTTAACTGTCAAATTTAAAGTGATGCTAGACCTACAGTCACACTCGTTTAACTAACACCGGTAATTAAATCCTAAGTGTATTTTGGCAGGGTGGCAGCAGCAAATGTTTTTGACGTGGTTATGCTTAAACCGAGTTAAATTTTGCTTCAATTTAATTAATCACATGACCTTAGAAGCACATTTACTGCAAGTTAAAATAACAACTTGTCCCAGATTGCAGCCGACACGTGGAACGCGTTGGATTGTGTTGTGTGCCGTAGATACGATTCACCTGGACACTTGTGGTCTTTTTGCAGGGCTGTGACGCACAGACAGTGCGGTACGATGTGATAGCTCGGATGCCCTCACTGACCTCCTACAATATCACTCCGATCTCGGACGACGAGAGAGAACGAGCTGAAAGAGATTTTGTCCGACGATTCGGCCAACTGGACGCCATCCAACGCCCCTACCGGTGAGTCTTCCAGTTCTGTCCGACCATCCAGGAATGCGTTGATGCCATTGCATGTCGAATGCCCTGTTAGTGTAGGACACAAGTACGCACTCATTAATATGCCATACACGCCACCATAACGGTAGTGTGAGTCATCCAATGGGTGCCACCTGAGGGACAGCACGTGTACCGCCTTTCCCCCCTGCCCAAAGGGATTGCGTTAGGAGGAGGAGGAGGAGATTGTGTCAACTCAGTGCGCCTTTTGTTAGAAACTAGGTGTGGCCTGTAGCTGCCACGCCAGGCATAACGTCTCCGGTGTAAACTCTTGCCGCTGAGTACGCCGTTTCCCCCAGCCTCACCCTTAATAACTTGGGATGTTTACACGCCGGTCGCTTCTCGTAGTCAACATTTACGTTTGCTCTTTATAAAACCAAGATTATGCGTAACCAAGATGAGTCGAGTGCATCTTAGATTAGTCAATTTTCATTGGTCTCTTGAGTGAATGGTGGCTTTGTGGAAGCCCTTGTGTGTGCTATGGAGTCACAAACGTTTAGTCGCGTGTTATTGTAGCTAGTGAGGACCTACACATAGAGGGTATGCGCTCAGAGGTATTCGCTTAATGAATGGGAGAAGACTCACATAATATTGGTAGTGAGCGAATCGCCAGTGTGAATAAGAATGCGTCAACAGAGGCGAAGATAAGCATGAATTTCGGGAATGAAGTAAATCAGAAAAAATCGTGTCGAAATAGACAAAGATTTACGCTTAAACCACACTTTTCTTTCCCTGGAATTTGATTGATTACCTTTCGGCCTTGACCTTGAACCGCCAAATCAGAAACCAGAATTGGGTATATGTGAACAATCATAAAATAAGAGGGCAATTTTATGTTGAAGGCGTTTATCGATCCTCCGCTAAGTCTGAAGAAGTGAACTATGTAATATTGGAAGAAAATTGTCGCTTTTATTTCAGATACTGGGAGTTGGAGAGCCTCCATGGACATTTGCCTCCGCTTGCTTCTGTCAACCTCTCTCCCAAACGCAATGTACGATTACGAGTTGTGCTTGATAACCAAGAGGTGAGTTTGGCAGCATTGATTAAAGTAGGCACGACCTCGCTTCTGTCTACGACTTACCACAATCTCATTGGATTCGATGATTTCAAGAGAACGAATGAGGTTAACCCACTTGCATGACTCACCATGGTTTCAAGATGAGAGATTATTTTTGCCTTTGAAGCACTGTATTCAGAAGGAGAGACCAGGAACACCGTTAGACCGAACTGTGTATTATAGACAGTCAACATTGTCTGTCATTGTTACGTCATGGATTGCTATTGATTTTTTCCCTGATGAACGGCTCTTGTGGAAGCTACACTGCGGCCGATGATGGTTGTGATTGGTTGAATGTTGAAGCCAGGTGTCTCGAGGGTGGGGTGACTACTTGGGGTTGTGGCGAGACGATTCGAACCAGTCTCTTTCGTCGTGAGATGTCGATGGAAAAAGGGAATTGGCAGCTGAGGTCTATTTGAGCTAGTCGAGTGCAGAACGCAGAATAACGGAGCCACCTAACTGGTCCCGTCAGATTCCTGACTACCGGATCGAGGAGAGTTGAACGTATTCAAGCCTAGGATCACTCGAGATCTGGGAGCTGAATATGCACTCAAACTGCTTGTCAGAATTGGTTCACAGAAATTGCGATTACGATGTCGGTGGTGACCGCGTCGAAACCACAATCGACCTAGATTGCTGTCACGCTTCCGAGAGGTTGCTGAATTTGGCACGCACACTTACTGAAAGGCATTATAAACGTCACAGAATCGTTCAGCAATCAATATTTTTGAATGAGCGTAGAGCTACGTCAGGGGGTCCAAATGCGTCACACACCGAGGTAATCGATGAAGTTGATTTATTTGTGCCCGCTTGATGTTGCTTTGCTTTCCAGAAGTGGCACACCTGCTGCTTGCGGAGGTCAATCGCGAAGATACGGCGTGAGGTGTGTGCGCTGTTTGAAATGCCCGCCGAGGACGTCAAACGCACCCGATTGGTCTACTACGACATGGACCTGATCGCAGCTCAGGGCCCAGAGGAGATGCGCAACCTCTCACGCCTCCTCTACACCTACCATCCGGCCGACGGAGACACAATTGAGATCACCCTGCGCAGCTAGCGTGATAGCGCCTTCAACCGTCTCCCTCTCTCTCTCTCCCTCCCTCTCTGTGCGTCCCTTTTCAATTGATCCGCACCATGACTATGTGATTTTTCAACTCCTGCATTTACTATCGCCATTTTGGTCACATGACCGACATGTCCTCGACAACTCTATGATTATTACAGCCCAACTAATATGAATATTAATATAGAGTAGGAATTTGCTATTATCCACACATCGACTCCTGGAGCTAATTGTGCGGGGCTATGTGCTTCCGTGGGGGTGGTGTCTGGTGTCATTGGGGGATTTCGTGTTCCCTCCCTTAAATTTTATTGGACAAACAACGGTCAAATCAGGTAGATGTGACTTAACCTAGCTCTAAACTGGCAAGTGGAACTACGTTTTAAGCACTAGAGTGGTGCTCAAGATGGAAGCGATGCCATGCTGCCTTCTCCGATATGGTTCCTCTAGCTGGCCGGTCATGTTCACGACTTAGAACATCCGTCGAGGAAACGAACAACAATGAAAGTGAACAGTCTAGTGGAACCTTCAGAAAGCGTAACACCTTTCATTACTGCGAAGTGGAAAAAAGACGCCTATGCTACGGCGAACTCTCGCTTGAGTTAGACGTTGAGGCCGGAGAATCTGCATGTATTGTAGCTATCTGGTTCATTTTCCGCAAGCGGTCAGCTTCGTGGCCAATTAACCAGGCCAGAAACAATCGCACAAATCACTAGATCTTTACTCAAACCCTATGGAAAACCGAATAATCTACCCGACTCAGATACGTTGAGCTTCAGAGATATCGATTTTTCCAAACACTGTCTCAAAGCACCAAGGCTCAACCCCCAGATGGGTGTTTTTTGAATCTAACGGTAGACGACTGTGTGCACGAAATGGGAGCTTTTTTCATCAGTTTTGCACGAATACTGCACTTCTACGGTGTGATGCATTCCCTGGGTGGTGGTCTGTGGATTCGGACTTTGGCTCTTCTCGGGGACGTGACTATAATCACAAACATTTAGAGCAGCACGTGAAAGGCTAAATTTCACATGAAACAACTAGTAGGTAGATACTGAGCCTGCCATTTAAGCAATGTTTTAAAACTGTTAAAATTCAGGACGTTTACTGCGACGATGCACAAACGGCAGCTGCGCATTCAGACTTCACAATTAGCGGTTCCCGACACCGATCCAACCACCGTTTTCCCACTGACGAATTGTCCTTCGTAAAATGACTTTGAACCACGTCCAGCCAATTTGTCGAAACGAAATCATCGTCCAACACACGTCCAGATTGCAGGAGGTTCCACAGACAGGCCACGAACCACAGACAATGCAGTTTCGAGGATTCGCATCAGCGTTCACTTTAAGTACTGCATAGGTGGTGGCGTAAAAGGCATTTTGTGAGAGAGCGAGCGCCGTGTCAGGGCTACAACGGATCCCTGCAACCTCAGACGAACACCCAAACGCGAAACTCATT